AAAACTTCAAACTTGATAACCATCGATTTTTGAGAAATATTTTAAAATTAATTCGATAAAGGATATGTGCAAAATCAAATGTTTTCTATCTCAGTTTCACTTTGGACAAAAATAATTTCATGCTATCTAGAGAACGATATCATTAGACCCTTACTATTTGAATTATGTCAATTACTGAATGACTACTTTTTATTTATTTTTCTCTTCTGAGTTTTGTCTTTGATCAACATGATATACGAAAACATTTTCTGTGAAACGAAAAAACATCGAACTGAGAGGGAGCCGCGAGAAATTGAATTTATTCAGTTTTACTTTCATATCTTTCGCCCTTCAGTCCTTTGGAGTGTAGGTTGGATAGTGGATGGGCATGTTTTCTTCACTCACTTGGCTATTTCAAGTCTTCTATCAATGTGTGTCATGAATGTATTATTTTGAGTTCATTTGATACAAGTCTGTCTAGCATTAAAGCCTAAATATTTCGTCGTACTTCACTCATACTCAAATCTTGAAGTATGATAAAGTATTTAGGCTTTCCTGCAACGGAGAAATATACGATACTTCTGTAATTTAAAGTACCTAAAATAGCATAAAGTACCATGAAGTATCGTGAAGTACTTTTCAAATGTCATAAAGGTCGAACTGTTCGACATGGTGCCATAGTGTGTTCGATAGTGCCAATGACTCTATTCTTTTATAGTACAGAATTGCTAGTGTTTTCATGCGACTGAAATATTGAATCAGCTTTTAAACTATCAGGTTGTTCGGAAAGTCCATGGAACTCATATACTATGAAATCGCAGGATAACAACTACTACATTTATTGAATATACTGGTCTTCGCTACTCTCTAAAAAAACAAGGTATCATCAGGAACCATTCATGGTTTTAGAGAATATGCTGAACTTTTAAAATTTTTGTTTATTCATTAATAAATCATCAAAGGTTCTGGATAATTTAAGAAATCATGTTGAATAAAACAAAAGGTTTCAAGTTTTCAAAAGAGTTCTATCTCGCACCCCTTTTTTTAATGCTGAACTTCTTTTACGGAGATGGTTCTAGTGCAGGTGTGGGTGGGTGTAAGTGTACAGAAGACCCACACCCAGGCTCTCACTTTATATTACACATATGAATTAGATGATTGTCATAGTGATGAAATTCTGATTTCTTCTTTCAATAAGTTGCATTGATGTTCAAGTTTTCTTATAAGAATGTTATAGATATTCTGATAGACTTGTGCTTTTAATTCTAACGTCACTAGTATCATTGCAACTTTTTATTATACATTTGTTACTCGAAACAGATTTAATAAAAAAAAATAACATAGATGCGGCTGGATTCTTCATTCTATCTGTAGATCCTAAAATATGAGAATATTAAACACGCAACCTTACCGGAAAAGTTAATTAAATGATATTTATTCAAACAAAAATATACTTCAGACTTGATCAATTTTACGGTGAGTTTTGTCTATAAGAAAAAAAATTTTTTATTCGTCTGGGTTCGTCTCATGAACTATTGAATTGTAAATTTGTGTTTAAGAATGAAATTTAATATTTTTTCCTTTAGCCTCTCTCAATGAGCAATTAAATGGTAAGGTTTTTTCAATAATAAATTTACTTTTTTTTCATTTCAATTCATCTTATGAGTAGTTAAATCGTAAGTTTAATTTTAATAACTACTATCATTTGTTTTTATCTTCTAGATTCATCTCAATTCATTATCGAATAGTAAGTTTGTTCTTATAACTTAAGCTTTTGTGGCCTCTAATTTGAGTAATGTTAAGTGGGAATAGTAACCAATTTGGAGAGAAAAGGTAATTTCTGATTTTTTTTTGAAACTCGTGACAAGTCCAAATAATCATAATGATGAATAAGGACTTAGTAATTAGTTCCAACGTATCTTAGGAGTCGTTCTAGCTGGGAAGGGATCAATCGCATTATTTCGTTGAATGGAGCTCTCATTGACAATCATAATCATATCGGAACAACTGGCATTTTTTTGTATAAGTAGAACCAGTTTTTGAAGCAGAAGAAAAAAAAGTTTGAGATAAAACTAGATTTTACTAGAACCTTGAAAGGTTCAGCATGATACCTTTTTTTTTGTTTTAGAGAGTGCAGGTTGACCAAATCATAATTGATCTTCGATCTCTTCTCGACATCACGAAATCCATATTGATTATTTAACAATTGCATGCCAAGATACTGCATGATCAATGGAAACAAAATACAATGCATCATGAATTAATAACAATAGGATGTCTATTGCAGAATGCACTTTAATATAGGCACGAAAATTTTCCTTATACATCCGAAATAAAGTGTAGATGCCATCTTTTAAATACACGATCATGTTTGACAGTATTATATAATTATTCTCTTTTCTAGTCATTATTTTTATTTGGTTTGGTTCGATAATATCATTATTATAGACCAATATTTACGAAGGAATATAAAAAAAACATTGTCAACATTTATATCTCACTGTGTATCAATATCATCATCTGATCCAGCAATGTTATTGCCAATTAGGATTATTCTCTTTACTATATTTTCATTTATGTATATTGTGCTGGCGATAGCAACTACACCAACAATGATTAAAGAATGTTGGAAAAAATTCAAAACCTGAGTAGACAGTTTAGATGTGGGAACTCCAATATACAATTCTCTTGACCGTTCATGTCTGCCCAACCGATCTGAACGAAAATAATTTTATCTTTGAATTTTTATCCTTGAACAATTATTCAATTTTGCTTGGAAAAGTAGTTTTTCACTGTGTTCTTTATTAAAGATGACAAATCATGCATTATTATTGTCGTAATAAATATATCCTAGATTAGCAAATGAGCTAGATAATTTCATTAAATCTTGTCAAAAGTACCAATTTGCTGATTAAAATAGCAATAGAAAATTTGATTATTGAACTTCACGTAGTTATGCGCTTGTTTTCATACGACGGAATTAAAGACATATGAATAAAGATAATTTTTCAGAATGAAATATAATATTATATTTTATTAGAGAAAATAGCCCAAATCCTTTTCGTCCATAAAGTCTACCTTCAAAAATTTTATTCAAACTGATGGAAGACTGCCACAATGATTTTGTTTTATTTTTATAATCTTATGAATGAAAAATATTTCCTTTTTCTTATCAATTATATAATTTATACATAAAATTCAGGAATTATATGGCAATGTATCAATACAATTTTCGATGTCGTTTATTAAAAGTCAATTTAACGTATCAAAAACAGCCTACGTTTGCGATAAACAAAAATATTCTTCTAGAATAAATAATTGATTCCATAATTATTCTCACTTCAAGTTGCTTACATCGAGTTTGTCCGGTAAGACTTTCCGAAAAATGTATATGCAATAGAAGTTGAATATAAACGAATGCCAATCTATTGATTTTGTGCATTTAAGAAATCTCTAAAGAAGGTGATAGGAACCAACAATCTATCAAGGATGTACTAATAGATTTGAATGAAGATAATTTTCTTTTCAGCAATATGCTATTCGTTCATAGCCTCAAAAACCAAAAGTATAGAGTACACTAAATTATTTTTCTAATATCTTTCTTCTACAGTAATAAATTAACAAGCAATGGATGTTATTGAAGTATGATATTTAGTTTGAGCTTTGCACTCGTCATTGATTTACTTTTAACAAAATGACTACAGGAATCTAAAATAATTGATAATGATAATCCAGCACAAACTGTCATATGTAATAGTACAAATGTGCCATTTATCTCTAGTACTGCCATTCGAATCAGTAAGATTTATGATGAGACAAATGATTTTTGGTAATTAATAAAACAATAAAATTTTGTTTTCGATTCGGACAAACTCAATAGATAAACAAAGTAGCAAAGATTGATGATTAGTATAATACCGACGTACAGGAGCAAGTAGGTAATATACTCTTCATGAACAGAATGTTGAAATTTATGATAGTACAATCAATATAAACACATTAATGTCAGCAATCATGCTAATAGATCACTTCAGATATACAACTGAATTTTGTTAGATCAACATCAAAATCATTGACTAAGATCAATAGCATGAATATGGATTGTGCTCTCTTGACAAGTACATTACTTAATAATGGATCTACTATACTTCTTATAGATAGTGTTGATATTAATAGGACGATGACAATGAATGTAAAACTTTACATAATAGATTTCTCGGTATTTACAACTAACAATATGATTCAACTTCGAATTTCTCGTGCAACTATTGTTATTGAATAGTAAAAATGTACTTATTGTAGATGAGAGTGATTCATACTCATTTTCAATTGTTGAATTCTATAGTTCAACCACAGACAGGATTAAATCTGTTGAACCAATGACACATCCATTGGTACCTGTGAGAAATAAAAACTTTCAAAAATCTCTAATAAATATTTATTTGATCATTCGATATTCTTCTTCTATTCAAAGTTTCATTTGATCAAAAGATTTCGATATCAATTGAATAAATTGTATTGTCAATTAGAACTCTCAAAAATTTGATAATATTTATTTTAACATCTTTTATTATCGTAACAAAGTTAAGAAAACTACTATTAACTAATTTGAAAAATAAGCGGTACAAGAAATGATTATAAGCATGTATTTTCTTGTTAAGATAACATTCTTAAAATAATGTTTTTCTATTGAAAGCAGTGCAACTATTTTCTTTATTAATTATATATTATTAATATAATAGTATTATATCGTCATACAATACAACGGTGAGAAGAAAAATAATTAATTAGTAAGGCATGATATAAGAACATAAATTTAGAGAAAAATAAAACTAAAAATTTTGCGTCAATATAATTCAAATTCAAAAGCGAACTGTTACAAAATGCACCTAATACACAACGAGAATAATAATAATAATATTAATATAAAATCACCATTATCTGATATTCGATATAAGCAGATCAGGAATAAGAAAAATTCGATGGTAATAAAATATCAAGAGAGAGAGAAAAAAAAAACATCATTCACTGTTCGGTAACATTAATGAAATATTCTTATTTGAACCTTTGCGAAATTCAATTTTATCAACACCACCCCATGTTACATTAATAACATATTTATGTTTATCTATTTGTGCTGAAACATAACGTTGTACATCAATGGAAAAATTTGATCTATCATTTAAAAAAATAAAATAATATAATTTTAATAAATAAAAATAACATACGATCTTCGTTTGAGTTTAGCTACATGACCAACAAATTCACCTACACGATCATTTTTTGTATGCATATAAAAAATGAGATCATGATTTGATATTAGGTGAACAACAATTAATTGTTCTTTTCCTGATGTAACACTTAAACCAATAATATCATCTATTGGAATACCAGTTTTTCTAATATGAAAATGTTTTTTTGGATCAAGTTTATAAAGATATCTATCTGTTAGAATAATAGCACGTTCATCCGTTTTAATATGAGTATTTAACTAAATCATAATTTAAAATATGAATATAAATATATATATATGTATATATATATGAAAATTTAATTGAGAAAATATACCTTAATTGCATGTGTAGAAAAGAGTACATGATTAAAATTATCTTTTCCACGTAATTCACTTATTGATTTTCGATATTCAAGTGAATGAGAATTTTCTTCAGGCTAAATAAAGAAAAAGAAACATATTTTTTTTTTCTTTATAGGAAATCAAGTTTTTGATGGATTATAAATTCGATAAACATTTTACATTAATAATAGTCGTGTAATCAAGGGGAAGACTAAATCTGCCTACTGGAGCTTTGAGTGCGCTATAGATCGAAGTCACTCCAGTTAAGCTCTGCCACAAGCCTATCATCTAGTGATGAGCGGAATTAATTATTTTCGATCCCAGTCTCGGTCAGAAAAATTTTTAGTTCTGATAATAAAAAATACGATATCATTTTCTAGCAGTGTCAATGAACTCAAGACACTTTACATAACCTGTAATATTCTTCCTCTTGGAGATTTATTACTTTTTTAAATTCACTAATACTTCGTTTATTCTACATGTTTATGTGTTCAACAACTCTTTTTTTTTACGGCGAAAAAAAAGGGATTAATTTTACTATCAAAATTGTAGCAGAAAATATTGAAATGATCGTTAGTATATAATTTTCGCATAAAGTTTTAGAACATATGAATTGTGAGGACATGACATTTGACGTAAATTTTACGCGATTACAAAAAATATCATTCGCAATGAAAAAGTGTTAGTCCAAGTTCCGATTGAAAAAAAAGAACTTACTAGAAGTAGATAATCTCCTTTCCATTCTTGACGAATACTTATTTCATGAAATGATGGTCGTTGTTGAAGATAATCTGCAGCAAGTAATTTTAATTCAAATATTGCTCGTTGTTCAGCTGGTATTCGTTGTATAACTTTATAAGCACGCCATCTAATAAACAAAAATAAAAGAAATTTCAAATATTACAATAGAATAACATTTGTTTTGTTTTTATATACCGTTGAAAAATTTTTTTTAATATATTATTCATAGGAATAAGACCTGGTTTAGGTGCTGGCCATTTGATATTTTTACCCAAATCTTTTGAATTCGAAACATTACTAAAACAATGGATAAACTAATAATTTTGACACAAGTAAAAAGAAAATATTAATTTACCGAAATAATTCATTAAGTTTATTAATATAACTTCGAATACGATATTTTCGATAGGCATGTTGTATTTTAATAGTTGAAATTTCACGACAAAATGCACGATATTGTCGCCATGAACGTGTATACTTTAATGAGAATTTATAAGTTTAAAAAAAAACAAAGAACTCCAATAATATTTCATTATACATACTTTTTGAAGAATAGTAACAATAAATTGTAAACCTTCGGTTCGTTTTTGTTCCAATTGAAATAATGAAACTCTAAAAATAATAATGAATAGATTCATTAAAAATTTAGATTTGTTTATGTTTAAATTATTTACGGATGTTTAATAAATAATTTTGTATTACCATATGCAACATCATTATCAAGATTAAGTGCACGACAAATATAATCAGCATTGTCTTTAGTTGGTGATCCACGAGGATATAATTTTGATCGAACTGAATCAATTATTTTATATCTAAGATATATATATATACAATGAGAAAAGAAATCTATTTCGAAATTTTAATTTTACCTTTGAACAAATCGTTCATATGGTGTTCGATGACAGAAACCTTATAATTAATTTTATTTTAATTTTTTTTGTAAAACAAAAAAACAATATTAAAAATTTTTTACCTGCTCGACGAACACGAACATTCTCAAGTAAACCTAAATAAGCAATTTGATGTTCAACACGTGTTTGATCAAATAGATTCGGAGATTTTTCATCATTTGGTTTAATACAACGAACATAAAATGGTTGCTAGGAAAATAATGAAATATTAAGATAATATTTTTTTTTGTTGTTGTTATTGTTGTAATTACTTTAGATGAAAGAAGATTAGAAAGACTAATCATTGAATTACGAAAAATAGTGCCTGCTGTTAATGGTCGTCGTGTTACTGATGTAATACTTTTTTCACCTTCTGGCCACATTGAAGATAATATAGGATTTTTACTATGAAATAATAAACGTTTAAAATCATCAAATAATGTATCACGATTTTTATCTAAAAAACCATCGACTGAATAAATGACATCTCCTATAATTAAAAATTATTTATTTATTTTTAAAAAAAAAAACAACAATAATAAATGAATACCTGCATAATGACGAATAAGAAAAAGTTTATTATTATTAACATTTTTCCATATTTTATCTCCAGGAGTCAGCTACAAATATAAATATTATTAAAATAAGACTAGGAAAAAAAAAATATCTAACTTACTGCCCAACTTGAATAATGTTTATGATTTTTAAGAGCTTTATTTATTGAATCAAGAAACATTTCATCTGTAATTGTTCCTACTGCTTGACAAGCATCATCAAGATATGCTAGAATACCTGTACGTGATTGTTCAATAAGATCACAAATAATTTTATTATTAAAATAATCAATCTAAAAAATAAAAATAAAAACAAAGAAAAGAATAAATAAATAATTGAATATAAAATCATACATGTTGCCAAGTTATATTTTCTCGTTTATATTCTTCTTGTTCTTGTTTAAGTACAAGTTCAATAAATAATTGTTGTAATTTTTCATTACAATAATTAATACATAATTGTTCGAAACTATATTCAAAAAAAACAAAAACAAGTCATTTGTTTTAAATAAACTAAAAAAGTAGAATTATACCTATTATTATCAAATATTTCAAAACCATATATATCCAATACACCAATAACAAGTGAACTTTGTATAGCACGTTGTATATAATTAGATTGTTCATTATTTTCTCTTGATAAAGTTTTATTAATATATTTAATTAACCATTCAAATAAACGTTCATACAATGCCTAATAATAATAATTAAAATTTAATTAAATTCAATTCAATAAAAACAAAAATTATAGAATCATGCAAAATATTCTTTTTAAAAAAATGGGACAATTGACAAATAGACAGCAAAAAATAAAACAAAAACAAATCATGCGTTTTGCATTAATTTCTTACCAAAAAATAGAAGAAAATATGCCTAATATTTAAGTTCATAGATTGGTTTTCTTTAATATTGAAACACTTACTTTACTTAATGCATCTCGTCCATAATAAGCTCGTGTTATATTTTGTCGAGCTTGTATAACTTCATTACGTGCAGCAACAACACGTGAAGTTAATGCTGATGATATTTCAGATTCTTCACATGATAATAATTTTGATATCCATTTTAATTGATCATTTTTATCATTTGATCGTGTTATTGAACAATGTTCACCATCAACATCAGTAAATTTTAAATTACCCTTGAAAGAAAAAAAAATTTATAAGTAAAATAATCAGTAACGGATTATCGAAAATTGATTTTGACAAAATGTACGTTCATTTCTCAACTTCTTAAAGAAGTCTGCAGAAATTTAAATAAAATTGAGTTAGTATTAGAATTTCGTGTTCTTTGCGAATAGGACTTGTAACTTAAGAATTATGAACTGACTTTTTCGAGATCCTTAAATTGAATTTGAATAAGCTTCAATGTGTAACAGCTTACTCAAAGTAGGAAATGAAAATTATTTCAAACATAACGAATGAAAGAGTAAACATTGTTCCATAAAATGTTTAAAAAATATCGGTAATGTAACTTAGGCAGTAAATAAAATTATTACTGCAAAAAAACGTCAATCTTCTCCGTCCAAACTTGTTTTTTGTGCATCTATAAAAGATCGACTCGTATGTCCTAAATGGACATAAATGGAATCAATATTTGGAAGTTTGCCGAGACCAGACTAACGTTGTGTATCTCGTCGCTAAAACGAACATTACTGACAAGAAAGATCTCTGGAATAGAGATCATCGAATGTCTTTTGATTATCTATGTTCGTGAGTTTCGTTTCGGCGATCATTCCTTACGTGCACTCTTTCTGAATATTTATCATATATAGATATACTGCAGATATCATCTCAGAACATCGCCAATAGGTTCAATCATTGAAATGAAGATTGTCGAAGAGCATATTGATCTTGCAGTCATCTTTAAGACACTGCAAAATGAATGTACATTTTTGTCAAATTACTTTTCGATAATCTATTATAGAAATTTACAAGATGTAGAATAGCAGCAACTATTTTCCATATAATTGATACTTCATCTTGTGTAAAACCAACAATTTTAAAAGCTTGCTTAACTTGTTGATAATCATTTCTATCATCAATTTTTGGTACTTTACAACAATTTCCTTGATTTATATAATAATAATCTTCAGGTTTAAGATTAAGACCATATTCTTGTAAATTATTTTCTCCATATAATAATTGATAAAATGAATGAAAACTTCTTTCACCTAATTGTTGTTTAACAACACGAGATTTTTCAAGTAAATAATGTTGAATTTTTCCACCAATTGGATCAAATTTATAATCAAAATGTAAATCCATATATTTACCAAATCGACTACTATTATCATTACGATTCGTTCGACTATTACCAAATGCTTCAAGTACAACATTTGTTTGAATAAGAATATTACTAATTCTAGAAAAAAATAAAAAAATAAAAAATAAAATTCAAAAAAAAAAAATTTTGTTTTTATATAAAATATATTTTTAACCGTTGTATTTCAGCTTGATTTGATATATTTGTTACTGCTGCTATATAACGAAGAATTATTTTTGATGCTTCTGTTTTGCCTGATCCCGATTCACCTAACACAAAAGAAATAATAACAATAATAAATCTAATTTTATTTTTTTTTATTCTACCTGATATGACAATACAACTATTTAATGAACGTTGTTTTAATGTTCGATAAGCTGCTTCAGCAAGTGCAAATATATGTGCAGGTCGTTCAAACATTTCACGTCCTTTATAACTTTTAACATATTCTGGTCCATATATAGGTAAATCACGATAAGGATTTACACTAACAAGTACCTATATATTTAAATAATAAAATTTATTAAGAATAAGAAATAATTTGTAACAAACTTCGCCAATATATGTGTAGATACGTCCTTTTTCAAATCTAAAACAAAATCGATCATACTTCATTATTATACAAAAACAACAAGAAATAACAAACCGTAGTTTAAGATTTTTAATGAATGCATTCATAGTAATATCAGACAGTAGGACAAAATCCCCAACACCCATATCGGGTCCTTCATGTTCAATAGAACCTGCGGCCATCTGCAAGAACAAAAAAAAAACAAGTGTGTAAATCAATCAACATTTATTAGTATTCACTGATGATTCATTCATAAGGAAAAAGAAAGCCAATGATTTATTAATATATAATGAATCATTTTATTTTATTTTTTCTATTATCTACGATAAGTTTTTATGACACTATCAAATATTTCTTGTTGTTCTTTATTTTTTTCACGATAATATTTTTGCCATTCATATTTAACTTGTTTCCAATGTTGAATATTATGATGACGTAAATTAGAAAAATTATTTATATCTACAATATCTACATCACGTTGTTGTTTTAAATAATTAATTAATTGATTTAATTGATGATTTTCTTCATTAGAAATCATATTCTGTTGTAAATGTTGAGATTTTTCAATATTATTATGTCGACAAATAGATGCATATTGTCGAATTATTGAATATAATTGTTGTTCAGTTGTTGAAAAATTTTCTAATGAAATTTTTTCTCGATTACGTTCAAATGGAAAACGACGATTTTTTGTCATTATACTAAAATTTAACAATATATATTGCATTGAAACATAGAAATAAAGATGTATTAAAAAAAAGAAAAACAAAATAATTCTCTTAAATAAAAAAAAAGATGTAAAAAAAAAAATTTAATCATATAAAAATAAAATTATTCATGATTATAAAAAAATAAAAATTAACATAAAACATTTTTATTTGTTTTACTAAGAATTCGTTCAAGTTTTTCTTGAACTTCACCTAAATATGGACGTTGAGGTGGTTGAGGATCCCAACATTTTGACATTATTTCCCAACATTCATCAGGAAAATTATTTAAACGTTCAGGTCGAATACCTTGTTTTACTTTTGACCAAAGAACATCTTTCGATGAACAAACATCAAAATTATTTGGTAATTTAATACCATTTGAACATATATACCAAAATAATATACCAAATGCATATACATCAACTGTATGATCATATTTTGATGTAAATAATTCTGGTGCCATATGAATTGGAGTACCAACAAGAGAACCACTCATCATTACTTCTGGTTTACAAAATCCAAGATCAGTTATACGTGCACGATTAAATCCATCCAACTAAAAAAAAAAATTTTATTATAAATCAACTATGCATATTCTAATGTGTAGTAAATGAAATTCTGGACTATGTATTCAAAAATTTAATACAAGGTACACTGAACATGTCAGTTGATGCAAGTTTATATGAAATTTAAGTAGAGTTTGGATAATAAATAAGCTTAGCTTGACAGTCTATTCCTCAGTTAGTTTATGAAACTCAAGGTATTTTGGTAATGTAATCAACTAAATTTTGATACTTCATCTAAAAGATTTTGTATCTCAATCAGACTTTAAATTCAATTCAATATCTATGAAACAAAAAGCCGCGAAATATCGACTTATGATTCTTTATTAAATACAGGGTGTAACAAAATTATAGGTCCACCATACCATAGCCAAAAATATGAATACTATATTTTTTGGGAAAGGAATTCCTTTTCAAAATATACTATTCATTTTTTTGGCTATGGCATGGCGGACCTACAATTTTGTTACACTCTGTAGTAATTTTAATTTTGATCATATATTTACCAAAACATTTTTTAATTTAATATCTCGATGAACAAGACCCAAACCATGTAAATAACGTAAACCTTCAATAACATCTAATGCAATATGAATTCTAAAAATCGAAATTTTTTTTTTTGTTATATAGAAATTTCATTTTAATAAAAAATACCTAGTTTCAAATGGAAGTTTATGTTTTAATGCTATATATAAATCTCGTGTAAGTCTTTCCATTACAAGTAATACTGGTGTATTATCACGATATGAATAATCAATAACTGATCCAATTAATTTAACAATTCTTGGATGATCTGGAATTCGTCTTTAAAAATAAATCAAAATTATCAAAATCTTTTTTTTTTTTTCTAAATTATTTAATTTACCTTAAATAATGAAATTCTAAAGCAAGATCATTCCAATGACGATCATCAGGTGGAATAACAGATTTTAATACACATGAACGTTGATTTGCCCAACTATCACATTCATAGACAACACCATATTGTCCACGACCAACTTCACGTCCTTGTTGTGGTAAACCATATTTAATAAGATCTTTTAATGATGTACTTTCAAGTAAATGTCTTGCAATTTTTGGTGTAAATTCTTTTCGTACACGTTGTTGTTTATCTTCAGTTGATTTTAAACGATCGGAATGTCGATGTTCTAATTGTTTAAGTAAAGTTTCAAAATTATCATGTGACATACGTATACGATCATTCAATTGAGTACAAACACTTTTTGCTAATCTTAAAATTAATTTCAATATATAAAAATAAATATGAAAAATTTCATTATGTTTTTAAATCTTACTTTACATCACTTATATTCTGTAACATATTTAATGCAACAGAACGTTTAAAATCAGGATCAATACGTGGACAATTACTCCAACTGAATGTTCGAAAGAGCTATAAATTATATAAAAAATTAATAAACAATAAAATAATTGAAATTATTATAAATAACCTCTTTCATTTTATTAATTAATATTTTAATTAAATTTGAATTTGTTGGTAATGATATATTTACTTGATATGCTGATTGAAGAATCTAATAAAAAATAATATTTATTTTTCTCAACGCACAAAAAAAAAAAATTCTATTAATTTCGATCTTAATCATAAATAAAAGATTACCTCTTGTAAAGCTTTGCTTGCTGATGCACTTCCTTCATCATCATCTTGATTACGTTCCAAATTACTAAGACAACGTGTTAATGTTCCAACATAATCTTGATGTAAAATACTAACTGAACATGATAATTTTTCACCAATTGCTTTATTTAATCGTGTAAGTACAAAATCTTGTATAACACTTGTACATTTTTTTAAATCTCTTGCAGTTTTTACTGTTAATTGATCAGTCAATTCAATTCCTAAATAAAATATAAATAATGTATATACTTTCTATCTGATTTTCGTTGATTAATTCGAATAATTTTCTTTTTATATATCACTGATCTCTGAATGTCGTAAAGCTTAGTTAATAGCATCGTCAACTTCTGAGGTTTATATTGTGAAAAAAAATCGTATTTTATAGAGAAATGTGAAGAAAAAGAGGAAATTTTTTGAGAATAAAAAAAAAGATAACGAAGAGTCTATTTTATAGAACTTGAAATGTTCTCTTCGAGTAATTGTCATTCGGTTAATTTTCGTTGACATTTAATATTAAATACCTGAAATTTCTAATGAACAAGCTTGATCAATTAACATTTCTTGTATTTCATTAACAGCTTCGAAAATTATTCTTTGAATTTCATTTTGTCTAGAATTTGTTAAACTAATTAATGATTCATATAAATCTTTTTCTTTTTCACGTGTATAACTTAATCGTTTAGGTGTTATAAGCATATCTCTATTTAAAAAAAAGAAACAAAAAAACCAATAAGAAAATTTGTAAATATCTTAAAATTTTCTTACCTTGCCATTTCAAAAGCACTATCATTAAAAACATCTAAACAAAGTTCTTGTGAATGTTGTAAAATATTAACTAAATAAAAAATAAAAAATAAAAAATTGTTTAAAAGAAAATTTCTTTTTTTTTTTTTTTTTTGTTATTTTATACCAGCACGAAGTGTTAATCGATCAACATGTTTACGTATATAATTTAAAAATAATGAAAAATTACTTAAACCATTATCAATCATATCACTTTGAAATAGAGATGAATTTATTTCCGATGTACTATCACAAGATTCAGGTGTTAAGAAAGAAAGAAAACCAAGTTCACATAATTGTCTAAGAGATTAAATTAATTTTTTTTAAATAATATTAAAAAGCAAAATTTTATACCTAAATATTTGTACACCTGGTGTTTCATCTGTATTTGAAGATGAATTATTAGTTCTAAAATAATAAAACAATTATCAATTAAACAAGATTATCAATTCTATTTTCTTACGAATTAGTTTGATCAATTCGAATAAATAAAATTGGTTCATTTGTTGCAAATGTACGAAATGATCTTAATTCTTCAAGATCATTTTCTGATAATATTTCTTGATCAATTATATAAATAAATATTGGTATAATCTCTTCTGTTATTTGTGAATAAAATTGATTAATATGTAAATTTTGATTACTTGGTGTTATTATAATTTGTAAATAATTACCAAGTAAATGTAAAGGTTTACGAATTTCTAATAATGGTGTTTCATATTGATCATTATCTTCATCAATTCGATATCGATGAAAATCATTTTCATCATTTACAATTATATCATCACGTGGTATAGTTGACCATGATAGAGATTTTTGTACACCATTAGTATCAACAAGTTCAAATGAACCGGATATATTTAAACTAGCACCAGTTGTTGGATGATGCTGGATATAAAATTAAATCAAAAGTAAATTGTAGCGATAAGACAACAAAAATATTCGAATAATCTCTTCTGGAGAAATCATTTAAAACTCCCGAAGGGCGAATACTTATTTTTAGGGACACAGAAACATATTACACGATACAATAATCACCAACTCCAAAAGGACCGATCCGATTTTTAGTGACGTGGCGCCCTTTTGCTCTCCCACGCTAGATAAACTACCTGTCTGTACGAAGACAAAAGCCTTACCCGTATTAATACTCTTACTCACTCACACTAGGGAGCTGCAGATCCAAAATTTTTACTTTTTTTTTTGTCGGGTCCGAGTCCAACCTTTTATTTTCTGTTGGATCCCGTTACGTTTTTGTAGACCCACTGCTTCCCAAATGAGAAATACAACAACAGAATATAATTGTACGTTGAAATTTTTTTTCTGAGAGTAGTGAATAAATAGCTGAAACCTTGATCCTTCACTTGTTCATGTATATGAAGGGTACCAGGTATTGATGGAAAAAATCTCCTGTTTGGGCCCGACTAGGTTCGGGTTGGATCCGATCCATAAAAATCTGGACCCCCGCAGCTCCCTAACCTACACTCTTATATTACTTTTCTCCTTCTTTTTTTCCTCTCTTGCATAATTGTGAGCTGGCTAACGTTTTATTTTGAATATATTATAAAAGTCAAAGAAAAATTACAACAACTATTTTTCAGTGCGAATCATCAATCTTAATATTTAAGTTATTCAATGAAGTATTTGTGAATAGTTACCAATAATAAGATGAAGTCTTTGACTCAACCGAACCCAAAAAAACAATATATACTTCATTTATATATTCTTTTTATATTCAAATCAATTTTCTGAACTTATTTCTTATAGTACTGAATAAAATTTCCATGAAATTTTTCTCATTGTTATTTCATTAGGATTTTCTAGGTATAGGAACTTATCATCTCATGAATAATTATAAAGAACCCTTAATCAATACATCCATGTTCCAGTATACTTCATCCTATCTATTTCATATCTTGAAGTATCATTCTAGGAAAAGATGTTATACAGAGTATCCGAAAAGTCCGCCGTGAAAAACAATATAAATATTGTTTAAAGGAAACTATTGTATTTTAACATCTAGAATATCAATGATCTTTTTCAGATTGAATCATGTATGATCATATAAGGAAAGTCTCACCTATTTAATTATCGTTTTTCGCATTTTTATAGCCTCCGAACGAAATCGAATTTTTGAAAAAACAGATTTCAGATGTGTACTCATCACATTATCACGATCTCAGTAAACTTTTTCTCGTTTCGAAATGATGATTAGGTATGAAGAATGAGTGACTGACTTGATTCGTGACTAATGCATTGAAAAGAAGAATTTATCATGACAACTAAGCAAGTGAAAAGTAATAAGTCGGTTATTACACTTTGTACAGTCAGTCGTCTTTCAGTTAACGGAACAAACAGGATTTTGTTTTGCAAGACTTTAGATCGATTCTTCAGATAGTTCTTCCTTGGTTTCATCTAGTGAATTCGAAAGCACCATTGAAGAATCTAGTATTTGTCATATATTATCTGATATGATAATCAATCTAAGTCATTCATGTGAACACTAACTAGTCGTATATGAATCACAAAAACTAAAGTATGCTAATCAACGGATAATCTACATCAATCGAGCATTACTAATTTCTATCTTATGATTACAAAGTATGAAGAAAAACATAAAATCTGGAATTTAAAAAAAAACTATTTTGAAAGTATTGGTTTTTTTTTTAAATCCAAAATAAAAACTTTTCTTTTTAAAAATGAATTTCTACCTTAATTCGAATCGTGCGTACAATATCATTATCTTGAATAATTGGTGATTCTGGTAATAAAGGTTCATTTAAAAGTTCATTAAGAAAACGTGCTTTTCCATTATATGTTTGTGAACAAATAATTAATGCTAATGGTCGTGATATTATATTATTAATATATTCACGATCTAATTTTGATAATTTAATTTCAGAAAATTTTTCTAAACAAATTATTTGTTTTTATTTTAACAAAAGAAAAATCTTACATACCAAATGCAAGAATACGTTTATCATTTATTTCATTGTAAGATTTATCAGTTTCTTCAAGTAATCGTTTAATATATATACAATGTCTTTTATAATGTCGAATAATTTTTGAAAATTCTTGTGTAAATACTGTTATATTATTATTAGTTTTAGTTATTGTTGTTTTAGATGTATCTGTCATTATTATTTTTTTTTCTTTTCTAAAAATAAAATTTTATCTGAAAGAAAGAAAAAAAAAAACAAAATACAATCGAATTAGTCTCTACTCGTTGAAATATTTGAGACATGAAAAATAAAGAAGACGACGAGCAGAAAACAAAAGAAGAAAAAAAACAACAACATATAAGGATAGAATATTGATAAATACAAATGAAATTTATTTCTTTTTTTTTTTTTTTTCTTCCTTAAGATTCTGGTGTATGTTCTGGAGACATTTGCATATTATTATCATTGTTAGAATTTTCAATTTTTGTTACAGATGAAGGATCATTATTAAGACTTTCAAGTCGTTTTTGTACATCTTTGAGGAGATCAAACTAAAGATAAATGAAAATAAAAATTTATTTTTATTTCTTAGACTTTAACGACTCAAATAATCAATCTATATTTATCAAAGGAAGAACATATATGTTAAGTATGTTTTCAATCTATTTTATGAACTCATGTTTGGATTGATCTTTGTATTATTATTTATATAAAGAAATTAAAGTAAATATTGATAGGACGTGTTTAATCAACTTTCTCAAGAACAATAGAATTTTTTTTTTCTACTTGTTTAATCTAAATAAACATCAAATTATTCTCAAAAAATCAAAATAAAATATTAAAATATAATTTTCTTTCGAGAATAAAAAAAAAAAAAAAAACATTCTAAATTTTCTTTTATTATATAATTAAATATAACTTACAATACGTCCAACTTTTTCTGTTTGATATGAAGGTAAATTTTCAAATGGTAAATGATCACATATGCCTTGTTGAAATTGATCACGACTTGGTAATTGTTGTGGTACATGTAATTTTGGTGTACTACTAAACATCCATAATGGTGTACCATAAACTTGTCCAAGACTTTTTTGTTCATAATTTGTTGATAATTGATTTTGATCATTTGATATTATTGATGAATTTGTTTCATTTATAATTGATATTTTTGTTTGTTTTGTTGTATTAAGTTCTTCAATTGGTGTTGGTTTATATGTTTCAAGTGTTGATTTACGTTTAAGTGAAGGTTTTTTTAAAAGATACATTTCTTCAATAAGATTTTCTTTACTTTGTTGTTTATCAAATGTTGGTAAATTTAAACATGTATAAGCTTCATCAATAAAACCATCTGGTATTTGTACATTAAAACCAGGATATGAAACAACTTTATCAAAATCATATTCATAACTATCTTCATTATTTAAATCAGCTTGTGTTTGTATATTATCATCTAATAATGCACCAGGAAAGACATTATCTTGTCCAGTTGGATCAATTGGTTCAGATTTTTTTGTTTCAATTATTTCACCTGAACGAAAAAAAAATAAAATTTAATATTAAACAGATTTCTTTATTGTTTTTTTTTTTTTTTTTCGATTTAATTATACCTTCTTCATTATCATGAAAAACTTGTAAGCCAGATTTTTTAACACGTGCTTCACGTAACCATCCAGGTGGATAACCACATCGACGCATATTATATATATACATTGGTATTTGATTATCTCGAAGTCCTAATGCTTGTCGTAATTCATAACCAATATAACCTGGTTGAAAACGTCGAAAACGTTCTTCAATTATTATTTGATCATTTAAACTTGATTGATAAGAATCTTCATGATAACGACTTGTTGGTTCATTAATATTTCCATTAATTTGTGATAAATCATTATAACCACATGCTTCAGCCATTTGTTCTTGATATTGTTCACGACTACGACGTATACGATCACTATCTAATTTCATAGAACATCCTTGAACATTATGATCTAATGCACCACAATTAAAACATGATGGTTTAGGTCGACGTGCACGTTGTAATGATGCATGTTGTTCACTATCAGGTAAAGCTAGACGATAGACTTGTTCATATTCAGGTATAATCCAACCTTGTTGTAATGCACCAACATTAAATGATAATAATTCATCACCATTTCGATCAATAAAAAATGTATCATAATATTCAAGTGGAGTAGTTTTTAATGTTAAATCATTTTGAGCTTCAGGTGGAATATTTATTTGTTTAGAACGTATATCATCAATTATTTGACGAAATGTTCGTTCCAAATGTATCTAAATAGAAAAAAAAAAAAAACAACACAAAAGATTATTATAATGATGAAATTCATTCGGAAGCAAATATAATCTATAACAAGAATTTTTTTCTTTTTTGGTAATATTTATTTCCTATTCGTTGATATATAATTGTCGAACATGTTAAAGGTCAAAATGAAAAATACTTTCGAATGAATACTTTGAAAGTCAAAATTCAAGGTACAAACTTTATAGACTTACAAAATTTTGTTATTATCTTTTATTATTTCTCCAACAGAAAAAAACGAAAAAAAAAAAACCAGTCCTTTGTTTTTTATCTTTCAAGATTATATGTGTATTATGACGTCATAATGTCTGATTACAAGTAAAAAAAAAAGCAATACATAGTTTACTAACTTTTCTTTCATAATCATTTTTGTCTAATTTGACTGCACAAGTAAATAATGGAACATTATTCGTTGTTCGATTTTTACTATATATAGAAGGTATTTCATTATCGTCGTTCATTATATCTTCAAATAAATAAATAAAAGAAAAGTAAATCAATATATGATTAAATATGTAGATATTTATTAAATGTTTCTAAAACCTATTTAAAAAAAGAAAACAACCCATATAAGTGTATGAAATAAATGACATAAAGCACAAAAAAAGCAAACAAAACAAAACAAAACAAAAAAGAATGTCTCGTTTATCTTTTATGATTTTTTCTTTTTTTTGTATTATTTTCGTGGTTGATTTATAAAACGTTGATCATCATGTTTGGAATATGTATTATGTTCATGTTTTGGATGTATACCATGTCTATCATGAATATTTTTTACGGCCTCAGTTGGAAAAGCTTTTTGTACCTAAATAAAGAAATGAAAAATAAAATATTTTATCTATTTTGTTTATAATTTGCATACAGGTACAAATGTTCCTGATACCATCTGACCAGCTACACGATTAGATAATGTTCTAAAAGAAGTAAATTCTTTCTTTTTTTTTTCTTTTTAAATATTCTTTATATTTACCCTGATCCTTGTTCATTATCGATATCTTCTTGATTTCTTTGATTATCATCATCGGATGTTCCTTCTTTACCACTAGCATTTGTACTATCTCCTGAAATTTGTTCATTAGTAACATTTTTATCTTTATCATCACCTTGTGATGTTTGTCGAGGACGTGATGCACCAACACGCATTCCACCAACTTTTACTAATTAGAAATTAATAATTAAAAAAAAAAGTTTGATTTTATTCAATTAAATTTTCTTCTTACTTGCTGGAGGACGACCAGCTTTCAATTCAGTCGAATCTCCTGATGATGCTTGGTCCGACATTTTAAAATTTTAATTAATTCAAATAAAAAAGAAAAAGACTTGAGTTGAACAATCTAAAAAATAATGAATAATAAGAAATACTTGTGGTTTTTCTTTTCTTTGTCGAATTTTTCTTTTTTTTGTATTTAATAATTAATAAAATGACAACCTTGCCTATTTCCTCCATTCACTCGACATTTCTATTTAGATGAGTCTTATTGGTACATACAACTAACCAATACTATCATTTTCATATGTTTCGAAAAATGGTCAGGTATACTTACCGAGCAAAATTAAAATGTACAGAACACCTGCTAACACTGTATTTTCAGGATAGTTAAATTAATTTTTTAAAGAAAAAAATAATGAATCTAATTTACTCAATTTTTTTAGAATATGTTACTTCTATCGTTCAGTTTCTATTTGAATATATGATGAGAAAAATGAAAATAAATTTTTTTCAATCGATAGATGATGAATTTTTTCTTCCTTTCTTTTTTTTCAACGCATTATTTATAAGAGAAAAATGTGCACATACACTTTGACAATATAAACAAAGTGTATAAATAACATTTTATTTTCGATTTCTATTAGAAATACTGGTAAAATATTCGAATTTATTCTTATATTTCATTGATGAGACATCGATAAATTCATTTATGTTTATTTTTATACCAATAATATTCAATTAAAGGTATATATAAGATCTAATCTATGACAGAAAAGTCTTGAGATAAAATATTCATTCATTGTCGGTCACGTAAAGACAACTGGTTAAAGCCAAGAATTTTCTAAGTGGAGGAGTACATGTCAACAGGAAAATAATTTTTTGCTTCACGAGAAGATTGTTAAAGTCAGGAGCAGTTAGTTAGACTTAAACTTTTTCGCAATTTTCGAAGGTGTATTCATAATTTTCTTCTGAGGTAAGATTGAATAACTATCATTAACTTGTTTTAAATAGTGATTTATTAAAAAGTGTCGGAAAAATGATTCCTTTTATCATAAGAAAAAAGCAACAATATGATTTTTTTTCACAGCAATTGCTTGAAAAATCGATCGAGAAATTTCAACTAGAATATCTATGACTCCTGAATAATAAAATCTAAAAATCTGAGTCTTGCATAGTTTTGTAAATCGTCCAGTGGCAGTTTGGATGCACATCTGATTATTGAAAATCCTAAGAAATACCTGTCATATACAATTCGATGCATCTTCATCTTCTCTTTGTAAAAATAAAAACAGCAGCTCTCCCTCTCTTGTTTCTATCAAAAGTTATTTAAAAAAAAAAAATCATAGTTGAGATTTCGCTTATTGTAATATTTCATTTTGTACTGCATTCAATGTTCTACAATAATGTTGAGTTGAAACTATTCCAAGATACAATTTTGAACTTTTTTACAAAATTTACTGATAGATAATCAATCTTAGTTCAGAAGGAAAATCTAAACAGACATTCGGTAAGAACGAAAAAAAAAATGAGACTATTTCAATGACTGTAATACATTTTGAAGTGAAATTTTTATCTCATTCTTTTTCTGATGGAAAGTAATATTTTTCTTGTAAGAAATAATTTGAAAATTTCATATTATAATTCTGAGGTACAATAGAAAATTTTCTTCGAATTCTATTAAACAAATTATATAATGATATTCTCTCATTTATGTCAATAATAATTCTAATAACAGTTAGCTTATTCCTACTTTTGAGTACATTCATTTTCATTGATATTAAATAAATAAACTTTTCGTTTGATATGCTTTCCAAAACAGATTAATTGGGTTTTTTTTTATCTACAACGAAAATCATTTTCATAATTGAATGAATAGAAAAAAAAACCGATAGGGTTCTATTTGCTCAACTAATTACCAGTCTAATACAAGGCAACTAGTAAAACTTAACTGAAAACATTGAGGTTTATTGTCGAAATTGGTGTGATAATCATGCTGCTATAGGACATTCTTGTGATAGATTCTGAGTATTTATCGAAAAATTTGTTCAAGAGATGAACATATTCTTAAATATATTATAATCAATAATAAGACAAATTATTATATTCAAAAAACTAAAACATTTCATATAATTTTTGGATATGTTGTACGGACGTCATTTTGTGAATATAATTCATAGATACATATATATATACAATAGAAATAAAAGGTAAAATGGATCGAGTATTAATACACAATCAAGAGTACATCATATGATTGAACTAGTCATATAAAATCCATTGATTTTATATGAAACCAGGCTAAGCAGAGGGCGCTAAGCCCACGCCTAGCCCAAAATCCGGGTTCCGTCACTGGTAGAAATATTGTATAGATTGAATGAAACAAAGCAAGATGTTTAGATAATTTCTAGTTGTATCCAATTCATAAAAAAGTTTTATTATCAAGAAGCTTTGCTCTATAATTAAATTCTAATAGTTTGTTTCACATAATACAATAACTACTAGAATGTTTATCGTATGATTATTTTGACTTTCACATTATTTGTAAGAAAAATAAACAAAAGAAAAATAATTAAGAGCGACAGAAATAATACGATATTTTCAAATTCAAGGTACCAACATAAGAAGAAATATTGTAGAGTAAAAATCATTCCATTTCTTTTTTTTTTGGGTTCACAATATATCATCGTTTGTTTGTCTCGACGGAAATAGCATAATTAGTTTAAGAAAAAAAGATGATATTAAATAGATAGAGCAAATTTAAATAAGTCCAGATAAATTATGAACGCTCGACGGTTATATTATTTAATTTTTACAAAGAGATTCGAAAATTAGAAGTGTAAAACCATTTCATCTAGACGTAATATGAAATTTCAAAAAACAATCTTATCTATTTTTTCTGATAGTAACGAAAAACTAATAATCATTGATGGGAAAAAATAATGCGCCTTCATTCTCATGGTCGCTAGTCGTTAGTTACAGTGTCAGTGTTCATTCTAATCAAGGATCCTATTACGTCAAAATGTCAATTTCTTTAGGCATGAAATTGCACAAGAGTTTGAACAATTGAAGCGTAAGTCTGGTATGAATGTCATTCAGCTCTACTTCGTCTTTTTTTTTTTTTGTATATATATTCATATAAATGTACTGCACGACACATTCTCATACTTAAATATTTGTTTCAAAGAATAAATAAAGTAACACGATTTACTATGAGATTATCACAAAGAAAATGATGGTAAGTATTGATTTACTAATGTTAAAAAATATCTTCATCAATTGACATTTGATATAATGTGCGTTTTTTTTTTAATCTCATACCAATATTCAATTATGACGAAATGAATGGCCTTTTTTTTTGTCTGTTCGTTTTACTGAATATGTTTTGAGGAAACAAAAAATGTCTATAAGGTAAAAAATAAAGGTTATTCAATTTCATTTGCATAGACTGATTTTTCATATTCTCTGATTATTGCTTTATGAGTAATAGATTAACAATAAAAAAAAAAAAGAGTCGTTTTATCAGTAGGAGAAGTCATAATCATTTGATAATGGAAAAGAAGTTCGTAAAACAAGATGACGAAATATGATTAAACTTAATGCAATAATATAACTATTTCAGACGTCAATTTCGACAATCGAAATGATTATCATAGGGGAATGATGAAGATACTTTTCTTTCTAAATTTTAATATATGACGAAAAGAAGTCAAGCATAGCTTATAACATAAAATGACTCATTGTAACTGTATCCTACACGATACACCTACAAAACGTTTTGCGTTCGCTTCCAATTAAGCATATATGGTAATAGATGATATAAATGTCAAAAAAAATCTTTCTGTCGATTTCAGCTGTGCAGGACAACTCTATTCTATATTACAACGCAGGGTAAGGTAAGGATAAGAAAATTTTCCTTTGATAGGGTAGAGAGTACAAAAAAAATAAAGTTTATTCTGCTCATCTCTACTGTTCTCAGGTAGTTCAGGAAATGATATTTTGTCGTTTAAGCCCACCCGCATAGAATAATGTTTCGATGTCATTGATGAAAGTCTATTTTTGTACTTTGAAACAACATTTTAATGTCATAAACAGTAATTTTAGACAATATGTACTGGTTTAAACGATGAAATACCGTTCCCTGAACTATCTGGATAATATATTTTCATATTGTAGCACATAATTAATTTTAATATTGTTTCAGATTGCTTCTTTTAATCACGAAATTCATAGGGAAACAAATGCTTGTATACATTCACCTTTTATCCCAATGTTTTATTTATTTTCCATTGTAATCTTAGAAGTATCAAAGTATGAATCATTTCGTTCGGACTTTCTCCAATATGCAATTTTTCTCTTTTTTTTTTTGGATTATAACCTTCGTTTTTTTTTTCTTGCATTTTAAAAGTTAACGATCGTCGAAGTTAATATATTGATAGATATGTACTGTTCGACAAGGAAGTATTCCTTCATTTTTTCAGTTAAAGTCTTGTTGTTAAGGTTTACAAATAGAGTGACATTTAATTTACCACCAAGGACTTCATTCATCAGTAGTTATAATCTAGGACAGATAACTCGATGACAGTTGACATTTTTCTTCTCTATTAGATATCTTAGTATTTTAATGAAAAACAAAAACATAATTATTAACTTGTTATGTTGATCTATTCTCAGTAAGTTGTCATCGTATAACTGCCATTGAAAGAAATAATTTATCAAAAGTATCCATTAGTAATAAGATTTGATTCAAAATAAATATAGTTTAAAAACATTGTTAACTTCTTCTCCATCGTTAGATTTATATACAACATTCTTATAATTTCATTTACTTCTTACAGAAAAAGACAAAAAAAATGGATGAATCAATACAACAATCATACATTTAAAAAAAGAAAAAAGAATTTCATTCTTCAGATCTAATGAATAAATGGACACTTATGAGAATAAATATGACAAGAATAGAAAGAAATAACAACACATATACGATTTATACATTGTAGTTTTTCAAAAATGTCCTCCTTGATACAATCCATCTAACATTGTTAATTGTTGTTGTGATCGGAAATTATTTTGTTGTACATTCCAATCATTTGACATTGTTTGAGAAGATATGATATTTGACATTGAATAATTATAATCATTAAAATTTTGTATCTGTGTATTCATAGTTGTTGTTGTTGAAATTGTATTTAACAACGAAGAATTTGATATACGATTATCTAATGTATTTGATGAAATATGTTTATTATTTATATTTAATGTTTTAATATTTTGTGTTAAATTTAATAAATCATCATCAGATATTGACGATGAAATTGTTTCTTCTCCATCACTATATGTTTGTTGTATTTTACCATCTATATCATGTTTATATAACGGACACCATGTACCGTCATCACCAAAGCATATGGCTACCTCACCTGGATCTTTACAAAAAAAAAAAAAAAAAAAAATTTTCTATTATATCTTTCTCGAAATTTTAGATCATACGATGTAAACGTTTTTTCCCCCTAACTTATCTTTAATTTCAATATATTTTATTTTATATTCTAAAAGTTATAATCTTTTGTTCTGTAAGATATAAGATATAGTTATGTATACTTCAATTTCTTTAGATTCTATTAAGTGTAAAAGAAAAAAAAAAAAAAGAGATACTGCTTTCTATTTTCTTAATATCCGTTACGTGTCAGAGAAAACATAGATGATTAGATTTCTTTAATTTAAGAGACATGAAGAAACACGAAGGTAAGTAAGTGTAAGTTATTCGAGTATTTTAACAATATAGGACAAGATTAATATTGAATGTTGAACCATTCATCTCTTATATGATCTCTGAATTAGTTTCCTATTACTATAAGTGTTGTTTTTTTTTCCCTGATAAAATAATTGATTATATAGTTTATCGCATTGAAATTCTATTAAAAGATTTGAATATCAAACGCAAAAAAAAAATGTATTGTTGATTTTCGAAAAATTTCTATCAGAAATAATGCTCATGGTTGAGAATGTCAAACGAGGATATGAAATAATAAGCTTCGTTAAAGAAGATACATGATATAAATAGAATTATTTAATTAGTCACTAATGATCATAGATATAATTTTAACATTATATATATATTATTCGAAACAAAAAGTTTTTACCAATCCACATAGTGAATATGGCTGGTAGATATTGATGAAGTGGTAGACGAGAACGTTCAGCAATTGATTTAAGAATAGGATCTTTCCAATGTTTTGTTTGTAAACATCTATATGCACTTCCACGATGTGGTGTTGCTAGAAAAAAAGAAAAGTTATATAATAAAAAATAAATCAAACTATAATTTACCAGGAAACCAATGTCCAATAAATCGTTTAGATAATATATCATAAAAATTTCGTTTAAAAATATTGATTTGTTCTTGTGATAATTTAACATGTGCTTTCATTAATCGTAATAGATAACTACATGCAACAGTAAGTTCTTTTTTCGGATTTGTCATTATTAATTAAGACAAACAATAAATAAATCAATCTATAATACTAATAATAATATTGAAATAAATTTATCAAAAAAAAAAAACCAGGTCTTCTAGTTGAAACATGAAATATTATATTGACCAATAATCACTATAACATTCCTTTTGCGGTTTTTTTTTTTACCTCATATAAATGAAAAGGAATAGGTGAACAGATGTCGATTTGTGTAAATATAAGTAAAAGAACAAGAAAGAAACGAACGACAGAAAATATTTCATTCCTATTTGACCTATAATCATTAAAAAAAACAACTACAATTTGTAACTATTTCTTTAATAAATCTTATTTTAAGAATTATCTAGGATTTAGTATAAGAATAAAGATAATCTAGCTGAGAGAGCGATAGACAGAGACTAAATCATATCAAAATGATTCATTTTGATTTTTTTTTTAATCAGCTGATCATTTAGTTAATTTATTTTATTTGACGATTGTAAAAACAAAAAAATATATTTTTTTATTAAGAAATTTTTCAAAATAAATTAGATTTTAAATAGAAATTTTTCAATTATAAAAAAAAAAAGTATGTCAATAAATAGAGGTCGTTAATATCAGTTAAATTATTGACATACAAAAAAAAAGAAGAAACGAAGGAATAAAAATGTCGGTTATGGCAAGTATTACATAGAATATATTGAAATAAATATAGTTGTTTTATCTTTACATGTAGTTAATGAAATTCTATCGTCTTTATTTTTCTTTCATAATCATTTACAATCTCAAGAGTTGTTTTTTTCTTCTATAGATTTAGATAACGACAAGAGTATCATCTTTAAGAATAATTTGTTGTCATATATTATATTTCCAAAAACTCATGTCGTTTGGTAAAATATTATTTGATCATCCGACAAGCAACGGCTAACTCGGTGCCTAATTTATATATATATATATATATATCCTTATTTTATTCTTATTATTATTGATTATCTTCTATTTTAAATTTCATTAAATTATTCTCTCGCTCTCTATCTCTTTACAATGAACAAATCATCGAAAGAAAATGATTTATCATCTGTTATAACTCAAGTATCAAAAGATGATGATCCTAATCGAACAATACCATTAACGGGTACAGTTATAACAAGTGGAACATCTCCAATAACAAAAAGTATTTTTATAAATAATAGAAAAAATAAAATTCATATAAAATAATTTTTGTTTTTTTTTCTTTGTTTATTCTTAGCTCGTTCAAGTCGAAAATATCGTATTGTATCGATTTTACTCTGTTGTTTAAGTGTATCAAATCGTAGTCGATCGAGAAGTGCAATCTATTCACAAAGAAAAGAAACCTCTACTAATCAAGAAGTAAATATTAAAAAAAAAAAAAAAAACAAATATTTTTTTTTTTTTGAAACACATTATTCATCTTCTTATAGTTAATTGCATTGAATTCTGATATAAATTTACATTTTGAGGTATACAAACTGAGTTTTCGTTTTTTTTTTACTAACCTCAAAAATAAAAATCACATGATCTTACTAATAATATATTTATTTATTTATTTGAGAAAATAAACTATGTTGTTTTTTTTTTTTTAGTCAAATGAAAAATATTTATTACCAACCTTACGTGTTACTGAACGAGTGAAAATATGTTTAGTTATTGATCTTGATGAAACATTGGTACATTCATCATTTAAACCAGTACCAAATGCTGATTTTATTGTTCCCGTTGAAATTGATGGACAAGTTCATCAAGTAGATTATATTTTCTTCTTTTTTTATCTAATATAATAATTAATTAAATTAAAAAAAAAGCACGAACAGAAGTATTTTTGATTGAACATATAAAAACAAAACACATCAAGAGACGTTACATTTCTGTCATCTCTAGAGACTATTGTTTCCCTATTTTTCATTAAACAAATAGAGTCTATGTTTTATCAACAAAATGTAGGATGTTGAAGATAATTAATTATTCATGCCATTTCTTAAGTTGAGATTTGTCATATGTGTGAGTTATATTTATTCATCGAGGTCTCAAAAAAAAAAAAAAAAGATGTTTCTATTAACTTCTCGTATTAATAATAGATCAAAACTAACAAATTAGATTATATAACATCAAAGAAAGAAGTGAAGACAACCAAAAAAAATCTTAGTTTTTTAATAATAGAAATGAAAATTAAATCGTTTTGTTCATGTTAATTAATTTCGTCAATTTAGGTCTATGTAACAAAACGACCACATGTTGATGAATTTTTACGTCGCGTTGGTGAACTCTTTGAATGTGTTTTATTTACTGCTAGTCTTGCAAAAGTAATTGAATAGAATTTATTCTCTTATATATATATATACATATACTATTTTTTTTTCTTTTAGTATGCTGATCCTGTAGCTGATTTGCTTGATCCAAATCAAATATTTCATTCAAGACTATTTCGTGAATCTTGCACTTATTATAATGGTAAAACAAAAAAAGAAACATTATTTTCAGGGGTGTCTCAACATCGCCGTGATTGAGAAGGGAGATCGAACATTTGTTTTTTTTTGCTGCTATATCGGAGTGTTATGGAAAATTGTGTAAATTTATGATGTTGAACATATGTTTCCGTGCAAGCACTCACTGTTAAAGAAGAATAAATTTTCTCAAATGCCAAATAGATAAAAGCGAAAATCATTTTTTGACGATATCAATTGAGTGAAAAAAATACAGAAATCATCAACAAGTATACTTTTAATTTTTCATCTAATGTCCATCTGGATATTCAAATTAGATCATCCCTCCTTGGGACTACGAGAAAAAGGTTATCTCAATCGAAACTAAAGATTATAGTTAAATATTCTATAGTTTTAAGTGAATTTTGTAGATGTAATACAAACAAATTCTGGACTAGTTTGCTCTATAGTGGAACCCAAAAAATTAAAATCATCAGGATCGGAAGCAAAAAAATCTTGTCTCAATTCTGTGCATCCCTGATTTGTTTTCTAAAAAAAAATTATAAAATTCTTTATATGTATTTTTGTTATTTCTAGGAAATTATATAAAAGATCTTAGTCGACTAGGTCGCGATATTCGTAAAGTAATCATTATTGATAATTCGCCGGTATCATATATATTTCATCAAGATAATGCAGTATGTGAAAAGAAAAAAATAAATTTTTGTCTTTGTTTTTTTTTTTATTAATATATTATTCTTTTATTAAAAGGTTCCTGTAACTAGTTGGTTTGATGATATGCATGATACTGAATTACTAACACTTGTACCAATATTTGAACGTCTTGCATTAGCTGATGATGTTATACCAGCTTTACAAGATATTCATCGTCGTCGAGCAATTGTTTAGAATATTTACGAAAATTTTCTTTTTATTTAAAAGAGTTTTTTTCTTTCTTCCTTTTCTTTTCTTTTCTTTTTTTTTTTTGTTTCTTTAGTTTTTGTTTCATCAGTAATTTGGCTTTGCACTTTCTTTATCTCTATTTGTTTTCACATTTTCATTATACAGTGCCGTTTGTCTTTCTTTACTTTTCGTTTTTGTCTTTATTTTAAAATAACCATCATAGTAAGCAGGTTTATTTTCAATCATACCTTTGTTTTATGTCCTAACATCTTTATTTTTTGTGCATATTGAAAGAAAAAAAAAAGAAAAACCACTAATACAAAATTAATCTATGCAATTTAACACCTATATTCTATCTATTGAAATCTTTACAGCATTCCTCTTTTTTTGTTTGATCGTCTGTTTTTATTTTTCATTTAATTTATAACGTCAGTGAAAAATCAATCAGAAAAAAAAGAAAAACAAAAAGAAAAGAATAAGACAATGGCCTGTTATATACATGTGTAAATACTTTATTGTTTGTTGTATAAAAACAAAAAACCACTTTTGTGTGAGAGTGTATATCGTTTTTTTTTTCTTCTTTTGATTGTTTGTTAAAATTTCAAGAGGAGAACTTCATTCTCTTCGAACAGTCGTAGATAAGAAACACTAATATTCTCCTCACATTGAACGAACAGTGTTGTTTTCAACAGATCCTTTTCTTGTTCTTGTTTTATATTTCATTGCTGGTGCTAATGCATTAAATACATTGTTTCTATTTTTTTGTTGTTAGTTGCTGCACATTTTTATTGTTGTTGTTGTTGTTATTTCTCTCATTCTCCTTTTTTTTTCGTTCATTGCGCATGTGTGTGTGTGTTTCCCCTTTTTGTTTCTTCGTTTTTCTCTTTTTTTTTTTTTCATAAATCTTGTAGCATTCGCCAATCCATTTACTTCCTCATATATCATTGTTGTTCCCAATCTGGAAAAGAAACAGAAATCAGAAAAATATGAATTATATTAAATAGCCTATTGAAATACAAAACAAAGTCGAGATATACTAATATGGTTTGCTTTTTTTAGATGGCATCTAAACCAGTAGATACCAAGACGACACTTCGTCAGTTGATGAAACAAGAAAAACAAAAGAGAATTGATTCACCATTAGCGAAGTAAATTTTACTAAAAAACAAAAAAATAAAAAGACAAAACTAAACAATGAAAACGATCTTAAATCATTTTCAGATATACAAATACAGGTCAATTGTATTGTGCATTATGTAATCAACAATTAACTAGTGAAACATTTTGGAAAGCTCATGTTAATGGACGAGATCATAAACAAGTTCGTTTGATTTTCCAAAAACAAATTTTTTTCTATTATCATTTGTTTCATCCATTATTCAGAAATTAATTGAACTTAAATCAAATATTAAACAATCCAATAGCGAATCAGTTTTTGCTAAACCATTCCCTCCACCTTCAACTACAACTCAACAACGAGGTATTAAACGTTCTCATGATGTAGGTATGTCTATCAAATTAAATCAATTTGTCAAACATACACTAACAATCTTTATTATCTTTTTTTTCTTTCTTTCTAGCCACATCAAGCGATAATGTAATTGTTAGCAAACCATCAAGTACTGTTTCTTCATCAACAACAACAGCTCAACATTCAGCATTACCTGCCGGTATGACTATAATAAAACAAAAAAATAGTTTTAAAAAAATATTTTTTTTTTTTAGATTTTTTCGATTCTGATTCATCGAAATCACAAATAAATACTAATAAACCAACTACAAAATCATCATCATCATCATCATCATCAACAACAGCAGTGACAAATAATGTTACATCGTCCGATGAATCTTCTGCTTTACCTGAAGGATTTTTTGATGATCCACATATAGATGCACGTATGAGAAAAGTTGAATATGTTGATAAAATGGAAGTTGAATGGGATGCATTTACACGTGAAATGAAACAACAAACAAATGTAAAAATTTTCTTTTTTTTTTTTAATAATAAATAAATTATCTTATACATTTATATTTAGATATCAGAAAAATTAGAAGCCAATGATGATAATGAACGTGATGTTGAACGAGAAATAATTGAAACAGATGAATTAATGTATATTTAAATGCTGTTTTTTTTTCTAATTTAATCTGAAATTTTTTTCTTTTTTTAGTACACGATGGCAAAAAATTGAACAAATGCATGATTTAAAAGATAATCGATTTAAAGTAATAAAAGAAGGTATAAAAAATTCTAAAAAACAAACAATCAATGAAAATGACGATGATGATGATGATGATGAAGATTTAGAAAAAGAATTACAAGGCATGTATAATTGGCGACAGAAACGTTCTTGAATTTTTTTTTTGTTCTTTCTTTTATGTATATACAAAGAAAAGACTTGATTTTTGTTATAAATATATTATGTTTATTATTACTTTCGTTAGAAAAAATAAAATAAAACCATTGTATTACGATCGGTATAATTTAATTTCATGATTAATCAAAGAAAATATTAAAACATTGAAATATTTTAAGAAATATTTAGATAAAAATCAATGCTGAAAAATCAACTGAAAGAATTTTAATGATAATACAAAAAAAAAAAACCGAATTATCGAATATTTATTGATAAAATAAAAGATTAACTTCCGTATGGAACATTCATATATGTTCTAGATAGAACTAGTTATAATAGAAAACATGTTTAACAGGAACCCATAGGCTGTCAATATAAATAATTTATTTTTCTATCTCAATGATTATGTTTAGTCTAATAAGTAAATTGATTTGGAATGTGTCCCATATTTATATCATATAATTAATTTTATTACTTGTTTTAGTTTTTTTTTTCCAAAATCAACTATCAATTATTTGAAGAGTAAATCAATATCAATCATTGACAACTCTAATTAATTCTAATAGAATTGAATCTGAAGGCATTAAACACAATTCAACAAGGGGGAAATAATCAACATCTTAAAATTTTCTTTTGTTTATTCTAAACAATAAAGATAATACTTGGTTCATATCAAAGAAAATCAATAGAACTTTGTGTGTTACAAAAAAAATTTTCTAAGACTTGATCCTAATTTTCCTTTATGAGAATTTCCTTTCGCTGCTTTACTTAGAAAAAAAAAACGTCTTTTTTTTTATTATCTCCAATGACTTTTAAATGTCAAATTTTCTCTTGCTATTTAACCTTTTATTATGTCTTCATCAATAGTGCTAAATATTCTTATTCAACTAAAATCAAAATGATAATTTAAAAATATTTTTTTCAGAAATCTTTTCATTTATCGATCGAATTATTTTGTAATTTTTTTTTTCTCTTGAATACTAATGTAATGTCAATAACTGTCATTTAATCGTAAAAACTTACTAGAAATACTAATTGAATTCTATAAACAATTATCATCTGTCTATTTTAATTTCATGCACGAAACATAATAATAAAAAATTAATAACATTTAAAAAAAAAATTCTCTATATTTTTCATTGATGACAGCAAAAAAAAATTTTGTTCTTTTTGCTTTTCCAACTATGATAATTACATTTCTTCGTTCACCGGTAGTATTTATTTATTTGTCATTTAGTTGTTAATCGAACATACGAGTCATTTAAATAATTAGATTCATTGATAAATAAGAAGAAAAAAAAACAGAATGCCATTCGTAATAAAAGATGTTCTTCAACATAAACGTAATGATCGTCAAAAACGTGAAATTCATGAAAGAGAATATTTAAAATATTTAACAAATCTTCGTCAACAACAACAACAACAAAAAAATTCATCTTATACTAATCAATATTATTTACCATTAAAACATCTTAATGAAATTGAACGATCACATATACAACATGAAATTGTTAAACAAAATCAATATAATCGTATAGAAAATGAAAATCATTTATTATATGAACGTTTATTAAAAGCAAGAAAACGTACAATGATTGATGATAAAAATCAAACATATGAACAAAATTTAAATACATTTATATCTAAACGTTATCAACAACGTTATAATGAATATAATCGTATTTATAATGATAATCAAATATTATTACAACGTCTTAATAATGCACGTGGAAATTTAATAACTAAACAAAAATGTGATAATGATTGGAAAAATCATATTGAATTTATGAAAAAAAATTGTGATTATCCAGAAAATATTGATAAATTTATTACAACAATGAATAAAAATGAACAAAAACAAGCAAATCTTTATTCATTAAAAAGAATTATACAATGGAATGATCGACATTTTATTAATGAACCATCAAAACGTTTAACAATTATGCCGTTATCTATGTTACTTAATGAATCTTAAAATAAAAGGATTATTTATTGTTGTATTACTTCGTTTTTTTTTTGAACACATTTTCATGTTCATTAATAACGATATCTTAAATCCTCAATTATTTATTTCAATTAAATTGATTTTGATGAACGACAAAAATAAATTAAGTTTTATTCAAATAAAGTATATATATATATATATATATCATAGATTTTACAGCCGATTAAGCTACACTTTAGATATGTAACACATTGAACACGAACGAACAAAAATCAAGAACATTCTATATAAAGCTTCTCTCAATAAAAATAATTACTTTAATATTTTTTTTCTTTTATAAATAGAAAATTTACTGCTGTAGAATAAGACCAAAATTCAAAAGTACGAATTTTCCAGAAATCTGGAGCCATTAGAAAGTAGACATATTAAAAATTCTATAGCTAAGTCAAATATCAATAAGAATCGAAATTCTATTAGAGTTTTTATTAAAACACTATGTAGTATCTATAGCGGGGAAAAAAACTTATTGAAATCGGAAGAGAACAAATGAAAAAGTTCTATCGTTAGTCACCAAAGACTATTTTATTGAATAAATATATTCTATCCAATATTGAAATATTTGTAAATAATAAAATCAAACATACACGTAAGATTATTGATATTACTATTTAATTCGAATGTTATTTGATCAAATAATTTCTCATAGACAAAATTAGAATTCGACTAGAGATAAATTCATGTTGAATTCGATTTAGATATTTATTAGACTTTAATGCATACCTAAACCTCTTATAGGCACGATCGCCACGATAACATTTTTGTCTCTTTCGTTTTTTTCCGCCCTACTGGTAATAAAGTATGTTTTTGTTTAAGAAATAGAAAATAAACTAGAGTCGAAATATTTCAATTTTTTTGTGGTACAACTATTCTGTATAAATATTATAAATTTCAAATATTCATATCAAAATGTTTTGATGAAGAAAATTTAAATCTCTAGCAACTAACAACTATAATTTGTACGTTGCAATGAAATATCATAAAATAAATGTTGAACAAGATTGATTTGTTCAACAATTTAATGTTTTGTCAATATAAAATTAAAAAAAAAAAAAAGAATAAATATATACACATAAAATATTCAAAAATAAAGTTCAAATATATATATATATATATATATATATATTGTTTTTCAATGTCTATGCATTTGTCAATTTAATTGATGGACGACTAATTGAATTTCGTCGTGAAATATTTAATGGAGCGAATGTTGATTGTTTTGAATTAGTTGGTTGTTTAAAATTTACTGAAGAATTTTTTGTTATAGACATTCGTCGAGCTCTACCATTATGTATTGAATCATTGAGTGTATCTGTTTGTATTGTTGTTGATGATGGTGGTATAGCTGATTTACGATAATTAGCACAATGATGAATATTATATAAATCAAGAATTTTATCAACATCATTTTGCCATATATGTTGTTGTTTTTGTAATTGATTACGTTTTAAACGTGTATTGTCATTTGTTTTTATTATTGAATGTTGATCAAAAATTTTTGGTTGATATTGTTGTTCAGGAGCAAAAAGTTCTTCAGGTCGAACACCAAATAATTCTTCAGGTTTATTATATCGACATATTGTTCCTTTAACTTCACGAATTGAATATGATGAATCATTTGATTTTGAATTTGAATGATGTACAATAGCTGATATTGGACGACCAGCATACATTGATTGAGAATATGTTGATGAATCTGATCCAATAATAGAATAATGTTGTTTAGGTATAGTTGAAACTGAATCATTTTGATCAATTAATAATGATTTCTTTTTTATTGATGCTGATGAAATATATGTTGGTTTTATTTTAGCTGAATTAATATATGGTTGATCATGTATAATTGATGTTGTTGAATTTTGAAATTTATTTTTTATTCTTGATAGATTATTTTCTGAATGATTGAATGTTGAATTTGATGTTTGAGGATATATTGTTGGTATACTTATTTTAGATTTAATTTCTTCATTATCATTTTTTGTTGAATGTAATTTAATTTGATTTATATCATCAATTGATAATTGTGTTTTACTTGTTGTATTTTGTATAAATGATGAATTTTGATCATTTATATTTGATTTATTAGAAATTTGTTGTTGCATTAATAATTGTGTTCGTGGACTTGTTCGATTTGTATTATTAAAATTTTCATTATTATGAACATTTTTTTGATGTTCTTTAATTTTTTGTAATGATTGTGTTTCATTAACAACAGCTTCTGTACTACAATAATGTGTACCATTAGTTAATGTTGATTTAGTTCGGTCAAGTTTGTTAATTGTCATTGTCGATGTTTGTGGTGCTTCATATTTATAATGTTTTAAATGTTGATGACGCCGTTTTTGTTTAGCTTGTTTACAAAGATTTGCTAAACGATTTGAATAACTAGTATCACTATCATTAAAAATTATTTTTAATAAACCAAATGAAAGTGTTGATGGACGAATGTCAGATTTTTTTTCTGATGATTGATAAGAATTATTTTTTGTTTTTATTTTTTTTGTTATCATATGATTATCATCTGTTGTTGAAGGACTTTCATAAATAGATAATGGACGTGGAACAACATAAAATTCATCCCAATCACGATGAGTTATTTGATTAGCACATTCAATATGTCCATATTTAAGTGCAAGAGCAGCTGCTGAACATCCTGAATACAAAAAAAGAAAAGAACAACTTACTTGAATAGAAAAAAACCAACAAAATAACACAAATGAATCAAATTTACCTTCTCGATTTATATATTGATCGAGACGAATATCAAGTTTTTCTGCTGATCTAATAATTAACTCAGCAATTCCAGAATTACCTTGAAATGACAAAAAAAAATAATTTCCGGAAGAAACTAAAATTTCTTTTTTTTTTAAAAATTTACCCGTAATAGCAGCATAATGTAAACAAGTATTTCCTTCACAATCTTTTGCTTCAATATTAAAATCTAAACATGTTAAATATAATTGTACAAGATGAAAACGTTGTAAAGCACAAGCATGATGCATTCTAATGAAAATAAATAATAAATGAAATGAATATTGAAAAAAAAATATTTTTATTTATTTACGCATTCCGTCTTGCATTATCTTCTAAGTCTATTTTAGCTCCTTTTTCTAATAAATTTTGTGCAAGTGATAAACTCCATCGATCATTTTCAACATATGAACATAAAATTAATGGTGTTCGAAGTTGACTATCACGTTCATTAGGATCATAATAAAGTTGTAATAAATATCGAACACAACGAAAATATCCATGTTGAATAGCAAAGGGAACATTAAAATATTTTGGTAATGAGGTTGAATTTGTTTGATGACTATGATCGATATTGTTATCACGAATAGTCATCGATGAAGAAGGTAATGCTGATGGTAATAATCGAGATGAAACGAGCATTGACATATGTTATGGTAATGGTACAATATATATGTATATATATATATATAACCACTTAGATGCTGACGATTATGTAAAGCATTTGTATAGCTTCTTAAAAAGTGAAGACAATATGAGTGAACAATGATGTGAATAGTTATGGTAACTTACTTGTGTTGAAAAGTCGACTATACATTCACTAGTAAAATAAAGAAAGAAAAAAAAGTAAAATAAATTGAACGGTCGTAGTACATTTAACAATGGCTGTTGTGTATGTTGAAATAGAATAAAATGAAATGAAATGACAACAAACTTCTCTCCTTCTTTTACTCTCTTCATTTTTTTCTTTCATTTGCTATGCTTCTTTCAAAAAAAAAAAAAAAAAAAATAAATTAAATATACTTGCCAAAAAAAGAGCTTATACATTTACCGTAAGAAAAAAAAAGACGAATGATTTGTTTGTATGATCAAAGTATGTATATTTATTTTTAATGGACACAAAATAAAGCGTCACATATTGTTTCTATCTTCTTTTTTTTTTTCATTAAAAAAAAAAAAACCTATTTAACGTTTATCAATTCTAGATAAGCTGCTTTTATTTTTATAGTCTAGGGAAGTTTCGTTTGCTCTTTTGTATGACTCCGATTTGTTTGTCACATATTATGCTTCACTCTTCACTGAAGAACATAACTTTGACTTTTTTTCTTCTTTTTTTCTTTCGCGTCTTTTTTTCATGTCCTTTATTATGAAACATACTGTAATACATCAAAGGTAGACACTTGTCACTAAATAATAAAAGAAGGTAAAATAATGGCATCAAAAGACAATCGAAAAATGTTTTTCATGAATACAACAAAAAAAAAAAGAAAAGAAAAAGAAGTTGATCATACTCAAATATGAGATTATTACCAATAGTGAAAAGATAAACATCAATTTATCCTTGAAAAGAAGAAAATGTTTGAAGAATTTGAAGTAGTTTTACTTTAGATAAAAAGTTAAAATCATTTTATATATAATTAATTAAAGGAAAATAAATAAATAAATTTCTATAATAATAATCATTTTCAATAATTCAACAAAGGAAATAATAGAATAGAATATTTCTCCTTACCAACGGAAATGATAATTTTCTTTTTTTTTTTTTTAAGAATATAAATTATTCTCAATTTTAATATCTATTTATATTTTCTTACAATTATTGTTCGAAATTAAATAAATTCCTTGAACAAACACAATACATCAAACTGTTTCTTTGGTAACATTATTTGTTACGATTTGTAACAAAAAAATATATAAAGATTCTTTTATTAATTCGAATTAAGTCAAAATACATGGGACAAGAAAATATGATTATATATGTTACTTCATTAAATTAATATTCTTTTTAATATAAGAAAGAAAGAAAAAAGAAAAAAAAAAAACTTGACAGTTTATTGTACGATATTGTGGTTTCACACCGTTTCTTATTAATAATCAAGGCTACATAACTTAAATGTTTGCGTACATATTTCACTCAAGAACACTTTTCTTGCATAAATACTATCACAAAATGCCATTATGTTAAGATGAACTAAGTTTTAATAAAATACTTACAACAAGTTGAACAAACCTACAAAACTTAATTTACATGGTTTAATAGAAAGACTAATCATAGATTTTTTTTAATTTCTAAAGTATGTCATACTATTTAATAATTACATCTTATAAATTTCAAAAGAGAAAAACAAATACAAATGAGAAAATTTTCTCTTATATAACCAACCTGATTAAATATATATATTTTGATAAATAATAAATTGAATTTTTTTTTTTTTTTTTTTATTTTGATTAAAACAATGACGCAGATTAAGGGAACAAAATCTCTCTCTTACTAAAAAAGAAAAGAATAGTTGACTTTTTTAGCTAACATTGTCGCAGGGATGGTTGAGAAGCTATATACATGCATTTTATTTTGAATTCAATCATAACTTGAGAGTTGACTGAAAAACTTAATTCCAATTAAAAAACAACAATTTCTATGTGCGTCATAGAAAGGAAAAATATCAACGAAAAAAAAAAACACACATTTCGAATGTAGAATAATGGTCAAAAAAAGATGTTTTAGATTGTGTCATTGAGATTGTAAGTGTTATAGCTCGGCATGCTTTGTTAAATCTACTATCTTTGAAGAGTCATTTCACTTAAGCCATGACCTATGATGCTCAATCGATTTTTTTTCAAATCTTGATTCCATTTACATATTTCAAAAGTACACCAATTAGTAAGCTTTTTGTCACTAACTGCACCTCGATAGCTTAAAGCATCACTGAGATATTGAATTTTTAATATGAGATCTTTTTTCTTCAACTGATGATGTTGATCTCATTAGTGTCGACTGCGAATTGAGCACCACGGACCGTAGCATAAGTGAAATGGCTCTTAATAAAAACAATTCGCCGATTAAGACTAAACACAAAACAAAAAATTTTTGTTTACTCATTAAACGTGCACTGGGTAATACTGCTATTGCTACTATCGAGGATGTGGCTGTGAGGGATCTTATCTTCACTTGCATTCCCTTCCTAAAAACGATTACATGTGCTTAGAATTACCATTTACTAAATACATCATATTTTCAGATATATTTCCCTTTCAATATTTATTTCTCGACATTTTCTCCCGTTCCATATTTTCTCTATCATTATCTTCGAGCTTGTGAATTCGAATATGTGTATAATCTCTTATTTGTTAAGAATATATAAAAAATCATATTTCTAAATGGCTCTGATGTTTCAATACTTTTATTTCGATGACTAGATAGACGACAAAAGAAAAAAAAATCGAATGATAGCGCAAGAAGAAAAAAAAACAAACCGACAAACAAAACCTAATATATGTCACGCATACATATTAATAGCGAAAAAAGAAAAACGAATAAAAAACAAAAAAAAAAGAAGAAGAAAAGTAATGATGATTGATCTCACTATTAAAAGAATCATCATCATCAATGCGAAAAAAGAAAATATAACATAAAATATTTAGTTACTGTCTTGATTAAATTTTCTTGACTTGTGCAAAAAATGCTGATGGTCCATAAGTTGTCTGTTTAAATAGATTAGCATGACATACAGCACATCGACTAATATGTTGTCTTTGTGTACCAGCTTTTAATGTAAGTAATTTTGGTTTTTCAAATCCTGTATAATCATCTAATGTAGCTAAATAGAATGTCATCATATTTGGATAATAATTGCATTGTGAATGATCTTTGCAATGAAAATATGGTCGATCATGATATTTTTCAAGACATGAACCAGGTGATTGTAAACTTTGTTGATCACCACGACCACCATCAGCTGATGTAAATACAAAACTATAACCTGCCCATAAAAGATCATATCCATCAGGACATGTTGGAACACGTTGTGATTGACTATGAATTGCAAATACAGGTGTTGCTGATTCACAAACAACACAACGACTTAAATGATTTGGTATATCACGTGTTTCAAATGGTGCCATACTTGATGACATTGGTTCATTTGTTGATAACCAATATGAATAATCATTACGTGATGCATAATGACATGAATTACCAATATCACAAAATAAAAATGGCATAGCACTAAAACGACGTAAACAACTACCCGAACCACCTATTGATAAAGAAATAAAAAAAGAAATAGAAAATTTCATTAATAAAACAAAAGTAATTTACCAAGATCTTGATGAGCAGCATATGCATCACCTTGCATACCCATAAATGAAAAACCTTCCTGCATTTTTGTTGTTGCATATGGACATTGTGGAGTTGTTTTATCTTGACTATGACTAAAATAATAGAATATAACAAAAGTAAATTTAATATTTCGATTTAATAATAACATACCGTGCAAATACGAATGAACCTTCACCTGTATCTCCTGGAAGACCTTGAAGACCAGCAATACCTATAGAACAGAATTACTAAATTAATATCTAATATTCTTTTTTTTTTTGTACAAAAGATTTACCCGGTGGTCCTGGTGGGCCATGTAAACCAGGTCTAAAAAATCAAATTAAGCTAGATAATAATAAAAAAATTTTGAACTTACCCTCCTGAAAATCCAACATCACCAATTGGACCACGAGCTCCTAATGAACCTGGACTGCCTATAAAGCAACAGAATAGTCATTAATTAAATATTTCATTGTGTCAATTTACCTGGACGACCAGCAAGACCAACTTGACCTGGATAGCCTTTTGGTCCGTGAACACCAATTTTACCTGGTAATCCATTGGCACCTTAAAAAAAGCACAACCACATTAAGTATTTGAAAAAAAAATTTTTTTTTTTGCATAAATTATTTTCTTACCAGGATATCCTTGATCACCACGTTCACCTTTTGCACCTGGATGTACTAAAGCCTAATATAATAAAAATGAATATTTTTTACAACGACAAAAAACACAAACAGTTATTTTCTTACTTCTACTCGTACTGTTTCTCCTTTTGGACCTGGTATACCTGGATATCCATCAACACCCGGCGATCCTATACAACAAAAAAAAAAACATAATTCTATTGTATCAATAGAAAATATATATGATTGAAACTAACCTGCATCGCCCATTTCTCCTTTACGACCTGGGATTCCAGACATACCTTAAAAAAACAAAAAGACAAGAAATTAAATTAAATTATTGTCTATTGAATTATGCATAAGACATACCTGGTATGCCTGGTTCTCCTCGTCTTCCTGGTAAACCTGGATTTCCAAGTGGTCCTGGTTGACCCTTAAAATAGAAAACAAATTATAATTTTGTATATCCTAGCAAAACTTTTATTTACTGGTAATCCTTTTGCACCAGCAGCACCTTGTATACCAGGAAGACCATTAATTCCAAGAAGACCCGGTAGACCTAAATATTAAACAATTACTATCTGATCAAACGAATATCATGAATTTACCCGGTGGACCAGCTAAACCTGGTTTACCATCTCGTCCAGGATATCCACTTGAACCTGGTCGACCTGGTAAACCATCTAGACCACGTTCTCCTTGCGGTCCTCGTACACTAGCTACTCCATGACCTAAAAAGAAAATTATAGAAATAAGATCAATAAAATATTCATAAAAATGATTACATACCATCACGACCCGGCGCACCAGGTAGACCCATATCACCAGGTGGTCCTCTTGAATAATAAAATTCGTTCAGATTATTTGTCTTATTAAAAAAAACTTACCGGAGACCTGGCCGACCCGGAAGACCATCGCGACCAGGATCACCACGAAAACCTGGTAAACTACGACCACCTAAAGTAGAAATCAAATAAATCATAATCATAGTGATTAAAATTAATTTATGAATTTTATTTATACATACCACTTTCACCTTGTGCACCTTTCAGACCGGGACGACCAGGATAGCCAGCATTTCCTTTAGGTCCTTGTAAACCAGGTAAACCTTAAATCAGAGACATAAAAACAATTATACAAGTCATATACTAAATAATAATGATAATTTACCTTGTCGTCCTGCTTTTCCAGGTATGCCTGTTAAACCTTTTTCTCCTGGTATACCTGGAAGACCATCACGACCTAAAATATTATTGATTACAAGTATTATACTTTAAATTTTTCTTTTTTCAATTATCTTACCTGGTGCTCCCTGTGAACCAGTAATGCCTGGCAGACCCTGAGATGATAGAATGAAAACAGAAAAAAAATACATTCCTTACTTATCGACTATCAACTTACCGGAAGACCTACAATAGAAAATTTACATGTATATATATTAAAATAAAAAACGATCTACTAAATTATACATACCAGCATCACCAATCATTCCAGCAAGTCCTGGGATTCCAGATGCACCAAAATCACCTGGTTCTCCTTTTTGTCCTATGAGAATAATAAATTTGATACATTTGTAAGAATAAATTTAATTTGAACTTTTATTTACCTGATTCTGTAGCTCGTCCATCTCGGCCTGGTTCTCCATTCATTCCTTTAAGACCAGGTAGACCTGGTAAACCAGGACGACCAGAAAGGCCCTATACAAAAACAATATATATATACATCTAGAAATAGTTTATTCGTTAAACTTACTCGATCACCTGGAGGTCCAGCAAGTCCCGGAAGACCTATTATACAAGATATGTGTTATATTAATTTTTTCAATTCTATTAAAATTCATACCATTTTGTCCTGGTTGACCTTTCAATCCAGGAAAGCCAGGTGCACCACTGAGACCAGAAAGACCTATGAGAAAATAAAATACTATCAAACATTTGATTAAATTCTATCATTTTACCTGGAAATCCAATAAGACCTGGTTGTCCACGTAGTCCCATTGTACCTGGAAGGCCAGGCTAAAAGATACCATGAAAATAATATGCAATTCATTTAGTTTTTCTGAATATAGCATATATAGATGATTCAACTTACCAATCCACGAAGACCTGGAGCACCGGGCATACCAGGAAGACCAGGGAAACCAGGTTCACCTCGTACACCTATAATAAATATTAAATAAGATATATTTTTTGAAATAGAAACTTACCACTAACGCCTTTAAACCAATCACCCACTTCACCTTTCAAACCCGGTAAACCAGGACGTCCTTAAAGACAAATATATTCTATTTTAAACTAATCATTAAATAATTAACATACCATCACGACCAGGTAGACCAGGAGCGCCAGCTAAGCCAGGGTATCTGAATAAAAGATACAAATAAAAAATTCATATATAATCTAGAGTTCTATTGAAATTATAATTTACCCAACTTCGCCTGGTAGTCCTTGAGAACCAACTGCAAATGAAAAAAGAATTATTTCCAATAAAGAAATATATTTTTCTTCACATTTCTAATACATACATGTACCAGATTCTCCTGGAAAACCTTTAATACCCGGTAGACCAACTTCACCAGTGTCACCTAAAATATAAAATTTTGCTTTTTTTTGTGTTTCGTTGTTTTAATCTTATGTACATACCAATTTCTCCTTTTCGACCTGGTTGACTATAGCCACCATGAAGACCTGGTTCACCAGTATCACCTACATATGACATAAATCGATATTAATAAATAAATTTGATTGATTTACAAAAAATTACTTACCTGGAAGACCTTTAGGTCCTGGAAAACCTGGGAGTCCATTTGAGCCACCACTGCCAGGTAATCCACCTAAATCAAAATGTATTATAAATATTATTCTATAGACAAAAAAAAAATCATATTTACTTACGTTCACCAGGTAAACCAGGAAAACCTATTTTGAATCAAAGAAAGAAATTCAATTATATTTATTTAAATAAAATATAGTAATATAAAAACATTTACCTTTCATTCCAATCAAACCAGGATATCCATCAAGTCCATTATCACCACCTATTTTGTCAAGAGAAGTTTAGTATAATAAGAAAGATTTTATACATACGTTCGCCAGGTTTGCCAGGAAAACCAGGTGCACCATTTTGACCTGATCGACCCTATTTAATTAAAATATAAATAAGAGAATTTCGTTTTTGTATATAAACATACCATGTCACCAGGTGCACCACGAAAACCAGATGGACCAGAACTACCTTGAGCTCCAGACATTCCAGGAACTTAACGAAAAGAAAAACAAACTGTTACAATACAAATTCATAATACATGTATCTACCTCCGGGTCGACCACGTGCACCAGGCAAACCAACATCACCCTGCCAAGCAGATCCAGCACCACCTAGAATAATTTTCATGTATGTAATTTTCAATAAATATAATAAATTTACCTCTTTCTCCTTTCTGTCCTTGTAGACCAGCTTGTCCCGGGCGGCCATTTATACCTATAATCAAAATAAAATTTTAGAAACCAAACGATAGTTTAATATATGCTTCACAGACCTGGATTGCCAGGTAAACCATATGGACCAGGTGGACCACCTAAAAAAAAACAAAGATTAGTGATTGGCAATTAAGATAAATAAATCTTTCAACAACGTACGACTTCCTGATATACCAGATGGACCACGTTGACCAGTAACACCTTTTGGACCTGGATTGCCTGGTGATCCAGCTATTGTTGCAATAGCAGTGTCACCTCGTTGTCCCTAGATAAAAGTAAAATAATATAAATGACAACAAACAATAATCTATCAAAATTTACTTTAGCTCCTGGTAAACCAGGTAGACCAGCTTGTCCATTCATTCCTGGAAGGCCAGGTCTAAAAAAATAAGAAAACACAGTCTATTAGCTATATAAAGAAAAAGAAATTTTCATACCGTCCATCAAGACCAGATCGTCCATCCATACCCGGATAACCTATATAAAATATATAGACGAAAATACAAACTTTTTTTTTCTAGTCTACCTTTAACACCATTTTCGCCTAAAAAGAATATTATCAATGAAATATATATCTGTATTACAAGTTAGACAAACCTGGTACTCCAGGAAAGCCGGGTCGACCATCATCACCCTGAAATATACATTAAATATTCGAAGTATTACAAAACAATGACTAGAATAACATTCTATTTCTACCTTTGAACCAGGAAAACCATTACTACCAGGTAGACCATCTCGTCCAGGTAATCCAGGAGCACCTTATAAATATTACAAATATTAATAAAATTATTCATAGAATTTTTTATTCGATTACTTACCAGGTTGACCCGCAGACCTAGACAAAAATAAAAGAAAAACAATAAAATTATACGAATGTGAACAAATATAAAGTCTTACCCTTCATCACCAGGTTGTCCTTTAATACCCCGTTCACCAGGTGTAATCACTGGTACTGGTGCATCTTCACCTGGTGGACCAGGAAGGCCAGGTCGTCCAGTTTTACCTTGTGGACCGCTTTCACCTTGCTCACCACGTGGACCACGTGCAAATACTTGACCCGGTGGTCCAGTTGCACCTTGTGGACCTGTTTAAAAAACAGAATACAATATATAAATTTTCAATCATTCAAAAATAAAATAATGAATTTACCTTTAGGTCCTGGAGTACCCGTAGTTCCTGGTCGTCCAGTATCACCTGACGGACCCTATACAGACAAAAAAATATGTAAATAGATATTTACAAACGGTAAATATACTCGTGAGCCAGGTGCACCAGGAATACCATCATAGCTAAAATATACAAAAGTCAAAATGTACATATGCTATCGATTTGATAAAACTCTTACCCATCACGTCCATTAATACCAGATTCACCAACATCACCATGATAACCTTTAACTCCTGACTCACCAGGTATTCCTCGACGACCTTTATATCAAATATAAAATAAGTAATCTATTCAATATCATTGCAAATTAGCGAATAGAAAATCACGAAATCTTCGGTTTTAACCAAATAGAAAATAATATTTAATCAGACTTAACAATTAGAGAAGAATGTGGATGCAAAGAAGACCGAGATCCATCCAATTTTATCAAGGAAAAAAACTTTCGTTGACATGCCTTTCGTAATATTTGATTTTGGCTGATTTTTTTTATTACTTCGCCTTTCACTGAATAGACACTATATCTTCTATTTCGGTATGTATCATTACCTTTAATGCCATCAGCACCATGCAATTCACCAGCTTCACCTTTACGTCCTGACAAACCTGGATAACCATCTCGACCGGGAATTCCCTAAAATATAGCAAAAATCCATTTTTTTAAATACTTTTTTGTAATCGTTTATTTACATCTGGTCCAGATAAACCATTCGGTCCAGGAGCTCCACCTGGTCCGGCATCACCTTTTTCACCTAAATTAAAATATAACTATAACATATCAATTTCGAAAAAACTAAAGAAATTTTTACCTCGAAAGCCAGGTGCTCCACTTAACTAAAAATAAACAAATATTATAATTATCAAAAACAAAAACAAACACACATTTTTAAAATAATACTTACACCTGGTCGACCGCGATAACCTTGGGTACCACGATCACCTGGAAGACCAGGAGCAGCAGGTGGACAAAATCCACAACCACCAGGGTCACCTTAAAAAAAATACGACAGATTAAAATCAATTTCATCCTACTTTTTATGAATGATTACTTACCAACATCACCTTTCCCGCCAGGAATACCTAAATGACAAGATTAAGTTTTAACAAAAACAAAAAAAAGAGACAAGATACATACCAGGATAACCAGGTGGGCCGGGTTGACCTGATCGACCTGGATATCTATATTAATTAAAAATTTCATAAAAAAAAATAATAAAACAAAAAATTATTATTCACCCTTGCGGACCAGAAGGACCGTATCCTTAAAATAAAAAAATTTCTTACTAAAACAATCAATATAGAAAAAAAAGACATATTTTCTTACCTTGATAACCTTGATAACTTGCTTCACCAGGTAGACCTTTCATAGAAAATATAATTATTATTTATTTATCTATCAAAAATTCTATTTACCTGGCAATCCTGGTTCACCAATATCACCCGCTGGTCCAGGTATACCAGGATCTAATAAAGAAAAACAAAAAACAAACATGATTATCTATTTTGTTCAAAAAAAAGAACTTACATCCAGTACGACCTGGAAGACCATTACTTCCACGTGGTCCTATAAAGAAATATTTCTTTTTCTTTTTAGACAAAAAATCGACCTAATCAAAAATATACCATATGTTTCTTCACCAGCTAATCCTTTTTCACCCATAGTACCTTTTTCACCCGGAATACCTAAAATAAACAAATATTTATGTATTCAAGGAAAAAAAAAGATCAATATTACCAGCAGGTCCAGATGATCCAGGAGGACCAGGAAGTCCTAAATAAATAAACAATTTATTATTTAAACAAAAAAAAAACCAATTTATAACATACCATCAGAACCTCGATCACCCTTTTCGGCATCAGCTGTTTCTCCCATAGGGCCAGGTCGACCAGGTGAACCATAGTCACCTCGTTCACCTTTAAGACCTTCTCGACCTATACACAATAATAAATAATACAATATGTATCATTCATAATTTTTTTTTCAATAACTCACCAGGAAAACCAGGAGCACCAGGGAAACCATTTGGTCCAGCATCACCTGTCATTCCCTAGAAAAAAAAATAACAAAAAGTAATAAAAATATTCAATCATAACAGGTAAACATGCAATTTACATACAGGATAACCTGGTGGTCCAGGAAGTGGTTGATAACGTTTGCTACCATAAGTCTACAATAGACGTACAGTTAGAAATTTAAGAAAAAAAAGAAACACATGAATTTTATATTATTTACATTGGGACCAGTTATACCATTATCACCACGTTGACCTTTAGAACCAGGATAACCAGGTTGACCAAGTTCTACAACAACAAAAAAAAAAATAACATGATATTTGAAATATTCGCTTTCTTATTTATTAACTTACCGCCAGGAAGACCATCACTGCCAGGTGGACCAGGTGGTCCTAGAATAAAATAAAAGTTAAAATAAATTTAAATTGAACAAAAAAAGAAGAAAACTGACCTGCTTCGCCTTTGATACCATATGGACCACTAGGACCTTCTTTACCCATTTTGCCCTTTGAAAAATATAAATATACATATATGAATCTTTTTTTTTTCTTCGTTCATTTACTAGTGATCCGGCTGCACCAATTTCACCTTTTTCTCCTTTAGGTCCTTGTAAACCATCGATACCCTAAAAATAAAAAACATTATTCTTTTTTTTTTTCTTTTTTGAAAATAAATATATATACCAAGTAACCAGGTTGACCACGATCTCCTTTATAACCATGATCACCATCAGGACCACGTATACCAGGCGGTCCTTGAACATTTGTAATACCTTTTAAAAAAATAATATTTTAATCTTCTTATGAATATTAAATATGATTCTTGTTGAATGGAATAAAATATATCAAAACTCAATAATGAATTGAAGGAAAAAATTTTCGATTGCTTCATGAATGTCTCTATAAACTCTGTATTATATATTTGAATACAAATGATATGTAATATATGTCTGAATAAGGTTTAACTTTTGTTATTGTAACAAATAGATAATAACAAAAAAAAAATAACTAAAAACTAGTCTACATCGAATAATAATCTAATTTTCTTCTCAATTTTTAAGAATTTTTGAATACAAAAACATATGCATACCTCGTAAACGACCATACGGCACTGGATCGGCTGGTGTAGGAGCGTTATCACCTAAATAATAATAAAATGTATAATACAAAAAGAAAAAACTTTTTTTTTTCTTGTACCTGGATCACCACGTTGACCTTAAAAATAAAATAATAATTTAAAATATTTGATTAATTCAAAAAATTAATTGTTTTACCTTTGTTACCATAGCTTATAGGACCATCTGGTCCTGATAATCCTGAATCACCTCTTAGGCCAGGGCTACCCTAGAATAGAAAAGAATGTATTTCAATCATATACAAACATTTAATATATTATACTTACATCTGATCCTGGTGGTCCCAACGAACCTGGCAAACCTGGAGTACCTGATGGACCAGGCCAACCCTATCAATAAAAATAATATTACATTATTCATTCAAAAGCAACAAAATCTTTTTTTCTTTTATCTATACTCACAGGTACACCTGGGCGACCAGACATTCCAGGATCGCCACGTGGTCCTTGTACAATACCACCAAAACCTATTGATTCACCTGGTTCACCCTAATCAATAGTTTGAAAGTTAAATGATAGAAATAATTTTGAAAAAAAAACGACTTACTATATCACCAGCTCGCCCTGGTGTACCAGAAGCACCCGGTAGGCCGTCTAATCCCATTCGGCCATCATCACCGGGTTCCCCCTAGAAATAAATAAATAAAAATGAAATTCATCAAAGAAGATTTTCGATGTAAAACACACGAGGGATCTTTAGTCTAAACTTTTGTCAGAAAAAAAAATTATTTTAAAAATTAACAAATATCACATCATTTGATGCAAATTTCTACACTGATTTTTCTCTTCAAAATACTTCGACGATGGAAAATTTGTATCGCAATCTAGAAGTATTTATGCTAATCTAATAGATATATCAAATGGAGAAAAATATTCGGTGAAAGTTTCATTGAGTTTGGAAGTATGCACATCGACTCTACTGAACATGTCTTTTTAGAAAACCTTTAGTTGAAAAAGTATGAATATTATTTTCAATAGCAAAAGTATTAGAACAAAAGTTTTCATATAGAATAAAAGAGCAAGAAATTCTATGAATTATTTCGTAGGTCGTTTCTATATTTTTTTTTTAAAGAAAATTTTGTAATACTAATTTTCTCGATTGTGATAATGTTTATTATCCAAATGAGATTAGTCTTTTGATCTTTTGAGAATGATAGACAAATAGGTGCCATTTGATCTTTTGTCTATTTTTATTCTTGGGAAAGGTTACAAAATATACAATCATTTTATCAGACCAACAGACACTTCAACATTAGTTATACTGATAGATAAAATATTCCCAATTGTATAGTGTTATTTATATCAGTTCTAATCTTTTTTTTTCTCTATAATATATATGTAAGAATATGTCTGAGTCAAGAAAACTTGAGAGTATCGTTTTTATCAATCTTGAATCATGATGACGGCAGAATAATTAAGATATATATTGATAGACCTTGATTCTATGACTAAATATTGTTGATTTTCTTTTTTTTTTTCCTAGCCCCTGTCACATACACATTAACAACATTGTCATAATAATAAATAAGATTATCAATGACATACAAGAAAAGTAACATTTAATATATGAGCGATTAGTTCCGATGAAATTTTGAGTGTTGACATTAACAATAATCATTTATTATTTTACATTGTACTATGTATTTCTTTCATTATTGTCTTTTCGAAGAAATTCTTGTTTTTTTTTTGTTTTTTAATCATCTTGATTATCATATATCTATCGTTTCTCTTTCGATAATTTTACTTCTATTTATTACACAACAATTATTGCATCATCCAAATATATCTATGTATACACATTTTTCCATCGTTATTAGTTGGATAAACGTATCGCTAGTAAGAGAAATTTTCTTTTATGCATGTTAGCATACCATAAATAGCACTCATCACTGAAACTGTTTACAAGATGCAGAAGTTTGTCGCAACATTAGTTGTCTATCTACACATTTTTGCTTTTCTATTTATACATATGCATTGAGTAATATAGTGGAAAGATATTTGCTAGTAGATATGAGTACAAATAATTATGGTTTGTATATATATAGAAATCAGAAGTCAAAGACTTCTTACAGCTGGCATATATGACCTCATTGTCTTTGAATATCTGTTTAGTTATCCATATGGGTTATGTTTGTTATATGAGTAATCAGGGCAAACTGCAATATAAGAATCATTCTACCAAGGTCATAGGGTTGATAGAAGGACATGAGAAAAGACAAAAAAGGAAGCAATTATTTATATAATCGTTATATACTATGGGATTTTCTTTTCATTTATCCATATACAGAGAAAAACCAAGGTCGTATGTACCTCAACAAACTCAGATAATTACATATTTGGGGTCGTCTGAAAATGAAATATGGATAAAGTCTACATTGATAAGAAATCTTAAGGGTAAAAAAACGAATGACAGACAAGACCAATTATGATTTTCATTTATCCCTTACGTCAGACAATCCTTATCAAGGATATACATATATATATATAGATGACTTGACTTCTATCTACATATGGAAAAGAAAAATGTACATTTTCCCCTCATGTCATATCAGTACGGATGTACCTGGCCTTGGTTTATTTGCGGTTAGATCTTATCTCATTAGAATGATGAAGACAGGAATAGAAAACCTAATCCATATTGTGTATATTGAATAGACACATATAACAGAGACATTTACTCAATTATACATCTCTCATGTTTCTTTACCTTGCTACCATTACAACCGGGTACACCAGGAATACCACGTGGACCGACAGCACCAGCTTGTCCAGGAAAACCATTTTGACCATCAATAGGCAATAAACCATCATCACCCTATTTGTTTTAAAGATATATATATATATAAAAGAAAAATATATAATAAAAAGAATAAATAATTATAAATTTACTCGTTCGCCTTTGTTACCATATTGACCACGATCACCTTTTTCACCAGAAACACCTGGATAACCTGATCGTCCTGAGGGACCTTTAAGACCACGATCACCTGGAATACCTGGAAAACCTTGTGGACCTAAAATAAAAACAACAAATATCATATTTGCTTCAAAAAAACAAAATCAATAAAGAACTTACCAGTTATACCCATAGCACCTTTTCCAGGACATTGACAATCACGTCGTGGACCACAACCTTTACATTCAGAATTTTGAACATATGTTTCACTAGGATCTCTTGATGGATATTGTCCAGATGGAGGTTCAGGATATCGTTGTCGATGATCATAAGGATATGGATTATATTCTTGTCGATTTATTCTAAGTTTTGATACATCATCATCATTTTGAGCCTATAAAATTTGATAAAAATAAAATTCTATATTGATTATAAATATTTACTATTCGAGTTTCAATTTGATTAAGAATAGATAAAAATAAAATAAGACCGATGATGAACGGCCTCAGTAATGAAGCCATCGGGCGCGTGCGTACACTAACACGACACACGAAATTCAACAATCAATCTATTATCTACAATGGAAAAGAAAAGAAGGAATACAAACATAATTATGAGATATCTGAGGTACAAAGTCTTTTCTTCAAATTTTTTGTTAATAATTCTATCTTTTCACTATAGACAATCATAAAAAATAAACAAAAGAAAAGATATGTCTGTCTGTTTTTATCTCTTACTCAATGTATTTTTGACACATTTACATAAAAACGTGTTCAATTGTTGGTTAGTTGATAACGGTCGTAGCAGTAACGGACACTAGTCCAGCCGAAAAAAGTTGGTTCGAGCTGTACAACATGTACATTTTTTTTTCTTTTCCCTCTCTTTTTCTTCTCTCTACATTTCTCTGTCTTTTTTTTTGGGAAGAAAAAGCGAATGCATCATAAGAAAACTGGACGATAATGATTGTGGTAGCAAATTACGCAGGGCGAGTGTTTGTATGTAAGAGAAAATGTCTTACGTATATATATGTATATGTAATATTATGTATGTTATCAGACCTAGTCCTACATAGAAACAGCAGAAGCGGTAGAGCACAATCGATATTCATCTTTTATGGAGAAGGGAACATAGAACAAAAACCGCGTTTTTCTGGTTGGTGGATTTGAGTGTCATCTCTCTTCTCTTTCTCTCTCTCTCTCTCTCTCTCTCTTGCTCCCTCCCTCTCTCTCTCTTTCTATGATTGTAGTAAGACGATTGATATTATTGTACCAAGGGAAGAAAATAGTCCAGTTTCTACAACGTTAGCACTTTTTTTGTGCGACTCCTCGCGCTCGATCTTTACTCGTCTGTTGTAGAACTATACGACGACGACAGTACAACTATTGTAACTGTCCGTCGCCGCCGATTCGCGCGTGACTTATAGACAGGCCACTGACAATATGCAACTAACAACATTAACTTCAAAATCGTCCCGTTTGCGGACTACAAGGTAAGCCATTTAAGTTACTTATTGAATGTTGATTCAATATTGAAAAATAAAAGAGAAGACAGAAAAGTATTTCTATTTTGTTCTTTTTTTTTTTTTATACAAACGTGTATATGTGTACACTTTTTTTTTCATTCCAATTGATCTATACCGTTCGTTGATCTGTATATGTATATATGTATGTATGTATGTATGTATGGGTGCATATGTATGTATGAGGAAAAAAAATGGAGAACTGCATATGAATAGACTCTCACAACTATTCATGGCTAGTTTGCCTTTCCTTTTTTTTTTGTTTCTTCATTTATAGATCATTCGTAAGAGAGTTTTTCGTTTCTGTTCATCTTTCATATACACGCGCCGTTACATAAACTGAATCAAAGCGATAAACATACGATGTCGACCATCGTCATTGTATGTTCTGAACAGTTTTTCATAGATTTTTTTTAAGAGAAAAAGAAAGAAGAGATATCTTTCATTTATTCTTTCGTTTGCTCTCTCTGCATGATATGACCATCAATACTAACAGTGGGTTTATATATGTGTATATTATGACAAAGAACTCATTTATACATATTCTTTTTACACCGGAGTATCTTCATCTCCCTCTCTCTCTCTATGTTTGTATTTTACACATTTATATGCCATAAATTGATAAAATAGAAGGAGAAATAAAAAGAAAAGTTCTCGTCTTTCTTTTTTTTTTGACTTCTTCAGTTGATCTTAGAAAAAGCTAATATTAGGATTAATAAGAGTACCAAAAAAAGAATCTTCTGTCTAAACTTATCGTACTATTAAGTATAAGCTAAAAATACTTTTCTTATCCTTTTTGCGGTTACATTAGTGCAAAGTACTATCGTTCTCGGTTGTCCTCGTCAATTCTCCTCCTTGGCTTTTTTTGCTAATAGATCATTGAGATCACATAATAATTCCTTGGTTTATCTATTTTTTTTTCCTTTCCTACGCTGCCTTGCATACACTCGTTCATCTTTCTTCGCCTCTCTATGTACCGTCTTGTACATACGAGAACGTTACTAGTTCTTCTTCTTTTTTTCTGTACAACATTCGAGAATTATTAATTATCGCACTAAGATGGCAAGCACCAGTATGGTGTTAAGGTCATTGTTATCCGACATTGACGTCGATATGTACTAAAAGATAGCAATAAAATAGAAGGACTCTGTCATTGCTATAGCCTATAGTAAACATACTATCGTCATTGCCATCTAATTGAACAAAGGACAATATTAATAATAGAAAGAATAATAAAAAAAAGAAAAGAAAATTATACAAATTTCTCTATTTTTCTATTAATCGCATGCCAAATGTTTGCAAGAAAAATATTCCATAAAACTTATACAAAACGGTTATATATTCGTATTATTAAGTAAGTACATTCATCATTTTAGATATTTTATTTGACTATTAGTCAATTTCTTTTCAAAAATACAAAAAGAAAGAAAGAAAGAATCATTATTATTCTAGTTACATATTCTTACATATACATACATTAGTTTGTTTATTTACCTAACAGTTATTATTAATTTCTTTTCTTCTTTTCCGCAAAAAAAAAGCGGGAAGGGTAGTAATCGTGATACCATGAACTACCTTGAAGACACATACACACTGACATAAATATTCCCTTTCTCTTATAAAGTTCAACTAAAATAAGGAATACTCGAAGAATGATAATAGACAAAACTAGATATGGATAATGCGTAATATCACCATTGTCTTTCTTTTACGCTTGATATGATAATGGGAATATACACATACATACATACATAAATATATATATATATATATGCATTACTACTTCTCATCTTTGTTAAAAGAATAGTAAGAAGAGAATATGTTAATGTGATGTAACAAAAAGAAAAAATTGCAGAATATTTGTGTTTATTCCTTTAACAAAGCATCTACTTTTCTATTCTTTTATTATCAAGAGTTTGTCCATTATATAGTCAATGACACGATATTATAATCTACTATTCAACCGATACATCATTGAATTTCAGTTTACTCTTTTTATTTTTATGTTTAAGTGACGGTCGATGAATACTTAATAATTTCTAGTCTTATTCTTTACGTACATATATATGTATATATATATTGAATCTATATAATACATCTCTATACGCGTGTGTTTTATATCAGAGTAAACTTAAATTGAAAGTGAAGTGAGAATGAGTGATAAGCGTTACGAGCTTGTAGTTTTGTGCTAAGTGAAAAAATATAGAGAAGACAAGAATATTTTATGATTATACATTGATCATCTGTATATATGTAGGGCGTATTCAAATTGATATCTATCTTATTCTCAATATACATATATGTATTTATGTAATAAGTGACAAGCTTGACAAGCTATTTGCCAATATTTACAATAATGAGAAGGCAATAGATTTTATGTTCTATTGCATTGATCAATAGAAATGATCAGAAATTCGATAAGCTGGAGGATATCAATATATATATATATATTATTGATGTACATACATATGGATAGGATAGATCATCTGCATTGCATCATACTATCTTTATTCATTTTATTTTCATTGATATCTATAGATATGTGTATAGTTTGTTGTAATCTTATCCAATATAATAAGAACAAAAAAGAAATATTATTTTTTGATTTGTTTTCATTTTTTTGTTTTTGTTTTATAGGCTAAATTATGCTTCCATTTTATTCCTACTTATCCTATCGATTTTCATTGAAACAAGCAATGCTCAACAAAGAGTATGTATTTTATATGTTTTAGCTTCGTTTATCTTTACGTGGATTTATGATGCAATCATTTTGTACAACTAGTAGCGATAATAAACAGGCAACTACTGTGAATAAACAGTTCAGGCATATTTTCTATCACCATGAACAGACAAAAAAGATGCCTGCGTATGTAGATATATATACATTCGAGTCAATTGAACGATGACGATGGTGATTGAGTGACTTGCCTCATCATTATCGATACTAATTATTTTGTCATTCTCTATTACTGTAAGCAATAGAGAGCAACTGGAGATCAAATGCCGTGATACGATGAACAGAAGAGGAGGTAGAAAATGTTGTGCTAGAAGGCATATCTGTGTATGATATAATAAATAGTTTACAGGCAAATTAAAAGGAAACGAATAAGCTCAATGAATGTATACATAAATGTGATTGTTGTTTTTCTTTTCTTCTAGCCTAACGATTCCAATACGGTAACACCACCACCAGGCTATGCATTTGCACCCGGCTATGGTTCGTCCCAATATCAACCAAGAAATATCAAAAGCAGCAGTGATTGCAGTAATTGTAATCAACCATGTTTTTGTATAGCACAAAAAGGAGATCAGGTAGATTTATAAGAATTAAAATAGAGAAAAAAAAACACAAAGTAAATCTTATGTTATATTAATTGATATATTTAGGGTCCAGCTGGTCCAATGGGTCCTGCAGGTGCTCGAGGGTCAGATGGTGTTCCTGGTCCTGAAGGTAAAGTATTTTTTTTTGTTTGTATTGTAATTTGTTATAGATATTTATAATTTTAATATTTAGGACCTGAGGGTATGAAAGGAGAAAAAGGTGATCGAGGTTTACCTGGCCTACCTGGTCAAAAAGGTGACAGAGTAAGTATTTATTATATAAGAAATTTTTTTTTTACCTAATGTATTTTGCTTTTTTTGTGAATTAATAGGGGCGATCCGGTGAACCAGGAATGCCTGGTATGAATAAATTGCTGGTTTCTTTCGTTCAATCGATATAAAATATCTTTCATTTTAGGCCATCCCGGTTTACCTGGTCTTCCGGGTCCAAGAGTAAGTAATTCAATGAATTATTTCATATAATTTTTATAATATAATTTTTTATTTTATTTTAGGGACCAGAAGGTAAATGATCAGTATGTATGAGAAATAATGAAATGAACAATTTATTTGTTTCAGGTTTACCTGGTCGTGATGGATGTAATGGAACAAAAGTATGTATTGATTATAAAAATATTCTATTTAATTAATTCGTTTTTTGTTATATTTGTATAGGGAGAA